CCTTCCTCCTTATATGATGTCATTTCCAAACATAGTTTTCTAACAGATAGCCCATCCACCCTGCAAGGCAGTTTCAATTACATTGTAGCAGGTTTAGTTTACTAATCACATAAAAACCTGACAGCCATTATAATACATGCATGAGAATAATAGTTAAAAGTTACCTGTAATTCAATTTTTCACAGAACTATGGACTAACATGGCAGAATTGAGCAGACGTATATCTGAAGTGCTGGCATGTAACTACTCAAACATGGTCGAAATAGAACTCAATACATTTTTATATTAAAACAAGATTTGCATCAATGAATAATGTTCCGAAGAATTTCAAAGACCTTTGGATAAATGTGAGATATTGCATTATGGTGATACAAACAAGGACAGGACTTATACAATTAATGGTAGGGCCCTGGAGAGTGTTGTAGAACAAAGAGACCTAAGGGTTCAGGTACATAATTCTTTGAAATTTGCGTCACAGGTAGGCTAGTGGTTAAGAGGGCATTTAGCATGCTTGCCTTCATTGCTTAGAACTTTGGGTGTAGGAGTTGCGACGTCATGTTGAGGTTGAAAAGGATGTTGGTGAGGCTACTGTATGCAGTTCTGGTCACCCTGCTAGAAGGATATTATTAAACTGGAGGGTTCAGAAAAGATTTAACAGGATGTTGCCAAAACTGGAGGGCTTCACTTATAAGGATAGGCTGGACAGTTTGGAACTTTTTTTTCCACTGGTGCATACTTGATTGAGGGGTGACCTTCTAGAGGTTTATAAAATCATGAGAGGCATACATAATGACTAGGGTCTTTTCCCTCAGGTAGGGGAGTTCAAAACTAGGGGGCATTTTAAGGTGAGAGGAGAAAAATTTAAAAAGGTCATGAGGGGCAACTTTATTTACACCGAGAGTAGTTCATGTGTGCAGGTTCAGTTACAACATTTAAAAGGCATTGGATAAATTCGTGAATAGGAAAGATGTGGAGGGATTATGCCATATACAGGCAGGTGGGATGGATTTAGCTTGGAAACATGGTCAGTGTGGACTGGTTGGACCAAAAGGTCTGTTTCCATGCTGTATCACTGCAAGATGCCAGTTATCAGTGGTGAATCCCTTCTCAGCCATGTAATCTATAAATGACAACCAATTAGGATCATAAGCTGCCATTTCTGCCACCTCCAGATACCTATTCCCTTCCCATTTCTCATCAGCCTTCCATAGAGACTGTTCCTTCCTAGACATCCTAGTCCACTCCTCCTCCACTTCCAGCACCTTGTTGCACCCCAAGACACCTTCCCCTGCAATTACAAGGTATAACACCTGCCAGTTTACCTTCTCCCTCCTCAGTATCCATGGCCCCAGACACACCTTCTCAGTGAAGTAGTGATTTACCTGCACTTTACTCAATCTAGTCGACTGTATTTGCTGCTCACAATGTGGCCTCCTCTATAGCAGGGTAAAAAACATAGAATGGGTGACTGCTTTGTGGAACACCTATGTTCTATCTGCAAAAATGACCCCAAACTTCCAGTTGCCTGCCATGTTCTCTGGTCAATGTCTCTATCTCGGTCTTGCTGCTGTGCTCCAGTAAGGCTCAGTGCAAGCTGGAAGAACATCATCTCATTTTCTGCTTGGGGACTCTGCAGCCTTCAGGACCCAATAGAGAGTTCAATGATGATGTTGTTGACTTGCTCGCCGAGCTGGCTGATTGAATTCTTTAAGGTTCTTGCGAAGATTTTACAATGATGTTCTTTCACGTCCTTTACCCACCCCACAACGCAGACCATGTCACCATATCGGCTGCTTTCAGCAGTCAACCCATCTGTACCTACCTATGGTCCTCATTAGCAGTTTTTCTTTCTCCCTTGCCTACCATTATCCAATTCTTAGTCGGCCTGTCCTTCTCTCTCTCTGGGTTCTGTCTCCACCTATTGCTTACTTCTTTAGTGTCTCACCCTTGTCTTCAGATTGTATACCTTTTCCTAGTTGCTACTGGTTCTGAAGAAGGGTCAATGGACTTGAAATGTTTTCTTCACAGATGCTGCCAGACCTGCTCAGTTTCTCCAGCAATTTCTGATTTTGTTCAAGCCAACCAAAAAATAATATTTTAAAAACAAAATAGTTTTGTGATAAATACACAAGAATCAACAGATGGGCACCTTTCATTTTGTTGTTACACAATTATTCTTCAAAACACCAGAATTCTTGAACAATTCTTTATTGCAATACTTCAGCATAATTACATTTTTTAGCAATCTCAAATAACAGAATTAACAAGCATTCGCATTACAGTGCAAAATTGGCATTAACATACTCAAACAACAGATGATATCCCGCAGATCAAAAATTACAGAAATCTCATTTACCGTACGTTACAGAGCAGCCAAATACCATTTCTTTTTAAACATTCATTCAAAAATGCAGGTATTACTGGCAAAGCTATACAAACCTATTTTCCAAGACTACAGCAGTTGTGGTTTTCTCAGCAAAACAGTGATTTAGTTTGATACAAATGAGTGGTTTGGTAGACCATCTCAGAAAGCAATTGTGAGTTAATCATATTGGAGTAACAGACAATGAAAGGAAGGCATATTTTCTTCCCTAAAATGCAGTAGCCAAATAGGTTTTTTTAAAAACAACTTTTAGTTGTGGGATTTGGACTCAATTCTCAGATTAATAATCTAGTACCAAGAACACAACATTACGCAATATCCCGGGATCTTTTGTTTTTGGGCTAATATTTTGACAATTGAGTGTGTCTCATTTGTTTAGATCTGCTACTACACAAAATGATTACCAAGATTGAATGTTTCAATCAGAGGTCAAGGCAGTTTTCCATTGTTTGGATTGTGCATGGTTTAAAGGTCTGGTATTCTTTGGATGAGTTTTGCAGACAGATCTCAGTAACAATACATACAGGCACGGGCCCATAACAGTGGAATTATTATAATGTTGTGTCTCCATTTTCTGGCTGCAGGCGCGAAATCAGAGCATGCAATGCACTTGGGGGAAAATGTATGTTGGTCACTTAGTTACAAGTCTATCGCAATCTCTATCATCATTAACTTTCTTTTAAGGACAGCTTTCAAAGACCACCAAATCTTCTACAGGTGCTTTCCTACATTTTATTGTGAATTTGGTTTGATGATATGGTAAATCAATTTTAAATATTTGCTTTTCATTCACATTTGGTCTAAATAGTTATTTTTTCAGTGAAATCCAGCATTTTAGGCAAACTATTGTCAAACATCTAGCAACAAAAGAAAAAGCAAAATACATAGTAATCTTTAAACTAATTGTAAAAAAAGTAGCAAAATACAGGCCAGAAGACACCAAGCTATGTTTGTCATAGATGGAACAGCTAATACACAGCATCGTTTCAGACGTGAGTTACCATTCTTATGCAGTGAAGTACATTGTACTGCATTATTTGTACACAACAGTAAACAAAGGTTAAAAATTAGGCCAGTATTTTTCAATTTTAAAAAACAGATATTTTGTAGAAAGTATTTAACCACATGAGCGTTGATATCAATACAAGTCTTTTCTTCCATAATAATACCTATTTCTGACAAATTCTGCAGACGTATTAAAAACTACTGGTGATACCCGTGACCCAAATAGAACGCCAAAATCACAAATTACATTGACAGAAATTCAATAACTGCAATTTTAACAATTAGATCTTGCACCCCAATTGTGACATAAGGTGAATTTCCATCAAAAGACCTCCTGTATTATGTACTTCGGAGGCTACATAGGGGTGCAAAAAATAAAAGCACATTAATAAAGGACTTCATCTACCCTTTTGACTGTTCAAGGCTTTCAGTATAGCCCAAAACAATTCTCACAATGCTCAATATATTCTGATACAAGATTTATTGCAGTAGTCCTCAATGGTGGAGAAAGCAGATATGTGCAATTTAAGTAACATTGCATTTTATATAATACCTCTATCCCAGGGACTTCTCACTGCTGCAGCCACTTTCATAGCTTCAGAAGGATCAAATACTTACAACTGCTAATAATTTTTCCAGGCATTCCACTGACAATGAAAGTTTGTAGAAAGGCCAATCAGAAATAAATTGGTGGCACAGCAACAGTATAACTCTGTGGCAGTACTTTCACTTCTAAACTCACCTATTACAGATAGTGATCCATAAACATGGTGACAATCTACAGATATACACTTTTCCTGTTGTCAGTTATAAAGCCTGTTCTTATAATAACGACCAATTGTAAATGTGGTAAGGAGGGTCTGAGACCCAATTCACTGGACCTGACAATGGGGTTTACAGAAAAGCAGGAAACCAAATGCAGTCTTTTATGTGAAAACCAGTTTAAGTTTAACATGTATCACAATTGGAAATAAAACTTTAAACCCAGTTTTACTATACAAAACAGAACTTTGCTGAAATTGGATTTTCACTTCATGCTAAACTCAGGTTATCTTTAAACCAGGTTGACTCACTATACACTTGTAATAACTAAGTGACAAAATCAGTGATGTACAAAACATCAAACTTGATAAACATCACAGTCCTTGAAATCAGTGTTAATTTTAACCTAACGGACTTGGCAGGAAATACACTGAATGTCAGTTTCATAACCTGCACAATATAACTTTTCGCTGACTTCAGCGTTGAGTAAAAATGAACAGGATTTAAAACCATTATACCTGACCCTGTGGATTTTCTGATAAGCAGGGTGCATTGAATTTGTCCAAGAGAGTCAAGAACCAGGCATTAAAATCAGACCCAGAACTCTAAATGAATCCAAGCAATCACAAGTCATAAGGATTTTAAAAGCTGGATGAACACAGCAGGCCCAACTCCCCATCTACACTCACCTTTACTGGCTCCATCGCCGCCTCTTCAACCTGTCTGTTTCCTCTCCACCTATCCTCTCCTCTATCCATCTTCTTTCCGCCTCCCCCTCTCTCCCTATTTATTTCAGAACCCCCTTCCCCTCCCCCATTTCTGATGAAGGGTCTAGGCCCGAAACATCAGCCTTTCTGCTCCTATGATGCTGCTTGGCCTGCTGTGTTCATCCAGCTCTGCAACTTGTTGTCTCGGATTCTCCAGCATCTGCAGTTCCTACTATCTCTGATAGGATTTTAAAAGCTATGGTTTATTTAATGAGAACATATGAATAAACCATAATGTCAACCGTATAAGCCAGGTCTGTTGTCCACCTGTGCATTGTTCTAACAGGCAGTTTATATTCTGATCTAGTGTTTGCAATAATGGTATGGTTTCATCTAGCATTGTTATATCCAAGAGAAATACCGTGCAAAAGCATCACTACCATCTATTTAATTCACAGTGGAGTATAAATTATGGCTTATCTCCAGTTAATTAGTGACGCCTATCAAGACTGCAGCAGCCATCTCAGATATTAAGCTGAACTTCAGGTAAACAGTAAAAGAATAATATGCTTACAAAGTGACAAAAAAATTCAGACAAATCCAACGTCAAACACAACACCAATGATAAGGATAAAACGAGTATTTATAAAGTCTTGATAAAAATTTCTAAACTCTTCACATTAACCTTCCAAATTACTCGTGGCAAAATAAAAAAAAAAAACTGCTCATTGATTCCTTTCAAAAAATGTTTTAAAAAGTACAGTTTCCCTGCTCTACAGACTCATTTGTAATACCACACTTCTCTAATCTTTTTAAAACTAGCTGTAATGCAATTTGTTTCTATTACGGTTTTATTTTCCAAGTCCTCAACATCGTGAAGTGCTTCACAAACAACTTTCACCTGGAATCACTCATTTGGAAGCAAATGCTGCAAGCAACTTTGTACAGTAAGTACGATTTTTTTTGTTGTGAGGTTGACATGCCGACCAGTGTACAAAGAGAATGTCCTACTCCTCGCTGAATGCTTGCATGATCTTTTATGTTCACCAAAAAGAGGTGGAAGGTCCTCTGCTAAACAGCTCTTCCAAAAAGTGGCACTACTAAACATGCAACACTATCTATAATCCACTGAATGGTCAGCATGTGCCTAATTGATGGAATGAGACTTCCGGTCACAACAGAGTGCTTTTAAATGAACCAAGCTGAATCTCTAACAACAATAAAAGGTGAAATTGCCATAGTTCCAGAGGACCACAGGGATGCTCTCTTGTTGGACAGAGACAATGGGTAGTGAGTTTAACCCGACGTTCAGGATGCCTCATGCGAGGGGTGAGGTTAAGGAGGTCAGGCCTTCATGGTGACTTCAACCAATACAATAATTGAACCCAAGCTGTTGACATTACTCTGCATCACAAACCAGCCGTCCAATCAACTGAGCTAGAGGGCTTTGCTGATGATGGACAGCCTGCTTTACATGTTCTAAGCTTTGCCAGAAAAGGCATGATTCATCATATCATTAACTACATACATTTTACAAAGAGTATGGAATAATGCAGAGAGAATTTAACTCTAAAATATCTATGCCAATACAACTGTGAAAGACAACAGCATTACACAAATCTTCATTAAAATTAACAAAATTATTTCCATTTTCTGCTAATGCCTACCATTCTTCGCAAATAACTCCTGTTCCAACTGCTCACCTACTTTTCCCTTATGGAAACACTGCCTCTGTTACTGAAGTACTTTTCTATATGGTAGGAGATCATTAAGTGGTCATTATTTATAATTCAACACTGGATGTTAGGAACAATTTGATTAGAGGGAGAAACGGAGGGGGTGGTGGCCGAAAATCAGCCTGCGCTCAGATCAATCTTTCCCTCACTCAAGAAACACACAAATACAATGCCAGTGTGGGGGCAGGGAGGTGGGTGGTGGTGTCGCTGTATAGCCATCAAGGAGAAAAAGAACTCCCATGTCCCAACAGTTGTTCCATCCTTGCACACTTGGGATTTAATTTGCAGCATTTCCAGTCCGTAATATTTCTCAACCATTGTACGACTTTTCAGGATGTGTTTCACTGATTTAGCAGCATTTGTAGTCCAATAATGAAAACGTGCAACTTTCTTTCATCTTCATTTTTCTTCTGTATTAGCAATGGCAATTTTCTTCAAAGCACTTTATTTGCTGATCATATTATTATATTGGATTGTCAGGCATACAGATCAGTATACTATAATCAGTTTTAATTTACTCTATAGTAGGCTTAATTTATTTCAGAGCTGAAGGTATGCTATTTAGACGCTCCATGCTGACTGGAACTGAAAATCAGTGTGTTAATCTTTTAGCATGGTTGCTATATCTGCCTTCAGAAGGAATCCACTATTTAAGAATGAGATAGAGCTACACACAAACTATGAATCAAGTCTAGCTTAAATACAATCTGAACTGAATCACAGCATGATCATACATTAATTGGAATATCTAGAAAAGCACTGATAGAATTAAAACTTAAATGCTGGAAACCTAAGATGTAAATAAAATACAAAGTTACAAAAGTACAAAATACAAGGTTACACTCAATATTAGTCACTTTAAACATTACCAATCTCATGCATTCATCTCATTTTAATCTAGAAAAGCTAATTTGACTAATCTGTTGATTAAAAACATGATGAGTGCTATAATTAAAGAATTATAATATTGGATAATATTGTAAACCAGTTCTTGTAAACCGGCTCTTTTTGCTTTTTAAAAAGAGTTTTTTCCATTTTATTGCAAAACTAGTAGAACCACCAATTGAACACACCATTTTCTAACAACTGGGTCTTATCAAGAAAGTACATGGAAAAATGACACTTAAAACAGCTCATACTAATATTTAATGTTATAAATATAGATAATTCTATATAATGGATTTAAACAAATGGCTACAATGGGAACTTCTTCCAGTGAAATGATTAGAGCGTGTATGAGAATAGCCTGCAGCTCAATCAACAACACTGTTTATTCTGTTTTGCAACAAAAAGGTTTACAAATAATATAAAACGTACAAATAAAGTAAAATTCTGGTCAGTTTAGCAGTGATTGGAATATTCCCTTAATACTAAGGAGAACTGCCAGAATCTAACACGTTCCAACGTAAAAGGGCATCATCATCAGAATGAAGTTATGCTTCCCCATGTGTTTTTGTGTTGCGAGTGTATTACATTGGTTTCTGCCTCCTCTATAAACCTCAAAACATGTGAATATTAGACTCAAAATACACCCAGGCTTTTATAAGAAATCACTCCCAATATTTAAGACCAGGATTAAAATTGAGTTAAGGCTTGTAAAAATTGTTGCTTAACAGCAAGGTAGCAATGTGGATTTAAAAAAAAGAATAAAATCTTATAAGTAATCGATTTTGTCTTTTCCTTTTACAGGTTGGTTGCAGAACACCTCCACAGAAACTAGGGCAGTGTGTATGTTGCTCATACAGTTGGGAACAGTGTGGGGCACCTGAAGAGGAGATTCAAGTTTAATTTTTGTTTTAAATGTATCAGATGCAGTTTAAGTTAATCTAACAAAGTTTAGACAATGTTCAAAGGAATTCAAATAAAGCTCAGTGTAGAAGAATTGCTGACATAGTTTAGATACACAAAAATGTCAATGTTTAGCTAAGAATGTTATAGCACAGACAGATTATTGAGGCCATTAAATCTGTGCCAATGCTTTTCTTCATCCCACATGAGCTACCTAAACTCTGTCCTGCTATGCTGCCTATTTTCTTCGGACAAATAAGTATTGTCATTGTTTATGGCACTGAGGAACAAGTTGTTTTAGGATTGATGCTGGGGTCTGTAACAAAGACCGTTTTCTAACCATTACTGACCTTCAAAGATTCACAGTTAGTTAATCATAAACCAAGACTACATCATCGCGGTCAGGTTACTGATTGTACACTGAATAACCCTGGACTCTCACTGTATACTATGCTTCATGCTACAGCAATCTCCTATTGGCTACCTTTTAGAAATCCCATGTGTCGCCAAACAGAATCTGACTATTGTGCTTTCAGATAACAAGTCATATTATAAAAGCGCTGATGTAAAACTGATTTGCACGAGGGTACAGCCAGCAAATAGCGATGTAGGCATTACAAAGCTGCAACAGCCAAGTGATTCAGTTGCACAAATCACATCATTGAAGTTCAACTTGTTCATAAAATCCCATTATCCCACACCAAAATAGTCACAGTACGTGAACATTATTTACTATATCTTAAAAAATAAATTACATTACTAAAAGCTAATTAGTAAAATGTCAACAAAAGATGTTAAAAAATGTGAAACATTCACCACGTGACAGCATTTAGACAAAAATGCAAACACTGAGGCAATTATTTAATTGGCTTGTAGGGCAGTTTCAGGATATCTGTGAAAGGTGCCTGTAATAGAGGCAGTAAAAGATTTAGGTGAGCAGCAGATAGATGTAAATAACATTGAAGGGTTCTGTGACCTGTATAACAAAATGAAAGCATCAAGAATTGAGCCCATCCACCCAAGAAGGGTTCAGGTAGGTGGCTTGCCTTCAATGGTAACAATTGTCTCTCTGGGCCTAACTATTAATTTCATGCTGGGTTCCCCAGTCTTATTTTAGTCATATGACTGGATTTCACTAGCAAACAGAATACAGCCATTCAAAAGGATGGGACTGTACATTACATGAAGGTAAACACTACATAATATGTATGCTATTACAGTAAATCTGTAGGTAGCCAAAGCAAATGTTAAAAAGCTTAATTGAACAGTGGGTTTAAAAGCAAATAGCAACTAGACAAAGATTAGTTCACGACTTTTCTCCCCACTTAGAAAAGCTTGATCTTCCTTCTGAAAAATCTCCAGCTCCAGTCAAGCAATTAGTTCTCTAACACCAGAGAGCTGAACAGCAAACATGGTGTCCATGCTGTCTGAATTTCACTTCCACAAATAGTTAAAACAAAATTACTACTTAATAAGGCCAGAAGTAATTTTTACAGAAGTGCTCTTTTGGCATTAGGATGTAGCTTTTCACTGCCGAATGCAACATGGTCATGATATGCATTCTGAGGAACAGTAAGTAGGTGTGGGTTTATTAAACAATGTGTACACCAGCATTTAACAGAAAATTAGTGGTATCAAAGCAGTATGTTATCATGCAGCAATAAGGCAGTTACCCTCCTTCCTGTTTCCCAGTCAATAATTATCAATTGTATAAGCTGCATCCCGTTTTAAATATGCCTACATCTTCTAGAATGAAGCTGCTAGCATTTGCTTCTGAAAGGTTATCAGAAAGCAGAATACTCGGCTCAAATGCCGAGCAAATGCACAAATAGCAATTTAATCAAAGATGCATCATCAATACTGAGCAAACTGTCAACAGATTTGGAATAGCACACAGATAGCTTGACTTCAATTTACAAATGAATTAATAAGCAAAAACTTGGGCTCAACCTTTTCTTTTAAAAAAAGGTGCATTATTTAACACAAATGCTGCAAGTCACAAATCCGTGAACACCATCACATCCAAAACATTTAGGGCAACTAATCTAGGCAAGATGAAATTCAAAGTAAAAATTAAGAATGGTTCATAAATTCAGGATGTCCCAAAGAGGTTTACAGCTTTTGGATTACTTCTTAAGTTTAATCATTGTTATTTTGCAGGCAACTGAAACAACAAATTGATCATGGCAGGATTCACCAGTTAATCTGTTTTTGATGATGCACAGTGAGAGTTAATTATTGGTCAACATGGGTGGGGGTGGGAAAACAACGCTGCACTACTTTTATGTCTATCTGTTAACAAACAGAAAGTAAAATCAGTTTAACAGTTCATCTAAGAAATAGCACATCTGACAATACAGCAATATGCATTGAAGGGTCCTTCTAAATTATGAGCTTCTAATCCCTGGAGTGGGGATTGAACCCATAACATTCTGATTTAGACTTAGGAGACCAAAGAGCATTAACAATCCTGAAATCACCATCAGGCTGATGACAGTGGGAAAAAGTAAAACCGATTGCTCAGAATGCTCATTCGGACCCCAAATTCAACAACAAATATGTATAATTTGGATACAGCAAGAACTGTAGGTGCTGGAGTCAGAGTCAACGCAGTGTGGAGGTCAGGCAGCATCAGAGGAGTAGGAGTTGGGTCCAAAACGTCTACGTTCCTACTCCTCTGATCTTGCTTGACCTGCTTTGTTCCTCCAGCTCCATACTATGTTGACTCTGTATAATTTGGATGTTTGCTGAACTTCCTTCAACTAATTCTAGCTCCTCAATTTTTAAACATCCTAGTCACATCATGCTTATGGGAGAATCTAACATGCTAAATGGCTGCTGTGTCATTTAAAAAAAAAGAAAATCGAGACAGACCCTCAATTTTAATGGTCATGAAATGCGTAGGAACTAAGGCAAATGGGTGGCTACCATAGCACCTCTTAGAATGCAGGGAGGTAGAACTTTTGAGAATAAACCAAACGAATGCACAGAGTCACACTCATATGAGAAGCAACATGTTGGACTCATTACTCCCTCACCTTGGACAACTCCGACATTCAGGTCATGCCAGCTAAAAAGTAATCTAAAAGAACAGGCAACTAGATTTAAATAACTCTCACATTATTGTAAAACAAGCACAATGAAAGGTAGAGTCTGTTGTGGGTATGCTAGAAGCTAAAGTTTTCCAACTGTTTTCAATTCAAATGCTCCTAGTAATAATAACTATTTGTAGCAATTACATAGTGGGGTAAACACTGCCAGATGCACTAGCATTCTACAGGTGTCCAGTTTACAATGGTTTTAAACAACACTGGCCTTCCATGTGCAGGCTTTCATTCACAAAATGTAAAAAGCAGCTTATCGTGATTCAGATACCGGTGTCATGTTTATGGAATCATTCTCCAATTGTTCTGCAGTGATCAATGCCTGTGTAATCAAATTCAGTTCTTCACACAGCGTTTCATAGCGGTAGGCAACCCGTATATCTGGGACATTAGTGCGACGGATATCGTTACCCTCTATGCTCTCCTTTTGATAATTTGGTCCTAACCAGTAGCCCTTTACCTGAAATGTGAAAAAAAAAAGAGATATATTGTTTTAAAGAAATGGATGTCATAAATTCAGCATTCAAAAGAAATTTTGTAACAACACCGGACCTCCAGAGAGAAGCGATGTGGAGTTGCCACTGGTCCAACATGTCGATGAGATTCTGGCTGCACTCATTAAATCCCTCCCTGGGTTCACACATGAAACATGAACAATGGGTTTGAACTGCTATAGTCTTGTCCAACTGTATTCAGCACCAGCCTGCTCTCATGTGAGTCATGTGTCTAGACTCTTCCTGGGATTATTCATTCCCAACAGTGGTGGTCCTCAACAGTAATGAATTATAAGCTTCCTTCTAATCACTGCCCCACTGAAATACTGGATTATTGATTATTATTAAGTCCTGCACCAATAATGTTTTAGATGATTTTGCATTGGTATTTGCAAAGTATTTTAAAGTGTTAAGAAAAACAATCAAACAAACATCACAATGGGACCAACCCCATGTAAATCCAGCTCTCAGGAAAATTCCGAGATAATTGTTGGAATATGTTCTCATCAAAGCTGCAGTGTTAGCAGTAAATAGATCTGAACTGCCATGAAAAAGTTCCAAGGGTTTTAAACACACAAGAATTTAAAGCCAACAAAGCAATATTTGTTATCACTACAAATATTTTGTTCCTCTAAAGTTGAATTTTTCAGTCAAATCCTGCAAGGTTTCCCCAGCAATTATCATTTTTTTACAAATCATTTTGCTAGTAAACTTCAACAAGTATGAGATATGCAAAATATAAACTGTTGCAAATAATTATAGAACAGTGTGAAAGGAGGCAACTGCTTTACAGAAACAGAGTTATCATGCTCTTTCAAAAAAATTCTGGAGCTATTGAATTTAGGTTGATGATCATACATGCCCAATTCTAATGCCTGCAACTTTGGTCAAATCCACAGCAGTTCTGAAGAGCCACCCATTTTCAGAAATGGCAAACCTTCTTTATTTGGTAAGCAAGGAGTCAGAAAACAGTTGTGCTCTGTAGAAATTGCTAAAGTAAAAGCACCAAAAGATTAATTTTATGCTTCATTAAATAATGTTCTATTCCTCCTTACTGCTGCCACATGGTTTGGTCTTCTGAGCTGGAAGCTCTCCAAGTTAATTTCTAACAGGTCCAAAGAAATAAAATAATTCAAGCCATGAATTATTGCCTCCAAAAACAATAAGTTTCACTTCTCCCATCCACACCTTCCTTATATCAAGTCCAGTGCACTACAGTGACAATTTTAAACATGCATCATTCTTTATCAGTGATGTCAGCCTTTGTATTCTTGGTAAAACATTTCTAAAATAAACAAAGCATTCATCTAAGCACTCAAAACCTGTCCACTTTAAAACAAAAATATATGACTGTAAAGGTAGAATTGTATGAAAATAGATTTCTCTGCATCTGTCATCCATTTCACTCCATGATCAACTGACATAAAACTGAAGTCACATTACGCTAGTTTTAAAGTTACTGTTTTAATAACAACATGGAGTATCTCACTTTCTATATGTTTTACTTAAAAAATGCCTCAGCAAGAGCTAGAAAATCTTGTTGACAACGTTTACTTGGAGTCCCTAAGCCACTTTGTACATTATCAAACCATAGCAGTGTTCTATAGAGTCTGATGATGATTCAAAATAAATATCCAAAGCTACACGACTTCAGTCATGTGACATTAAATTATCTCAATCTTACCACAATGTCCATATTTTATATTTTTACAGGTTCAACATCACTGCTTTCTGTTTGAAAGTAACAAACTTTTCAATGAGAAAGGACTGGGAATTAACAGGTTATTTGAAAAGCCCGCAGTTCTTTTCGCTGACAATTACATACATAATTTTGTTTTAAAAGACAGGAAGCCATTAATCTTGACACCAATTGTTGTATAGGAAATTATATTGACTCTGGTTTAACTGTGTTGTCCCTGGATGTAAAGCAGTCCACTTGGTCTTTTTGATTCATAGACAAGAATACATGCCCACAAGATACCAAACTAGCAAGGAAAGCATTGAAAAAAAATGCCGAGCAGCATTTTCTGATATTGTAGGACACAGAAAAATGAATTCATCAATTGAAAAGTGGGAAAAAAACGAAGCAAAATATTGTTCTAGTTACTGCTCCAATGCTCAATATGACTAAAATAAATCACACAAAAAGAAAACAGTAAAAGAAATAAAACAAGGTCTAAGCAACAAGTGGTGATACATTGTATTTGTATTATCAAGGACATTCATATGCCCAGTTACTAAATATCAAGAAGAATTCATAAAAACAATATGTATCGATGGAATGGAGTAAGTGGGGTTTCCATTTTGGGACTGCATGTTTTAATTAACCCTTTACCCCAATCTGTTAAAAGTTCAATTTAAACTTAAAATGCTGTATTTCAGCATCCCAACCTTATGAAGAACAATTAAAAAAATTAGTGAATATAGCATCTTTCACATTCTAAAGGCACTGCAAAACAATTTCCAGCCAACTAATTATTTTCTGAGCGAGATTTTTATTCTTCCATGGGATCAGAGCATTGCTGGCTAAGCCAACATTTGTTGTCCAAATCTATGTGCACTTGAGAAAATGACAGTGAGCCACCTTCTTGAATCTCTGTAGTCCATCTGAACTCATAACTCTGTTAAAAATAAGGGAGTAAAGTTGCTAGTAGGTTCTTTAAAGCAATGGAAAAATGGCCAGTGAATCTGTTCCACTTTTTATTGATCAAGGAAAAAATGTTGGCCAGGACACTAACACTTCATACTTCTTCCAATAATATTGTGGAATCTTTTGTATCTTAACATTCTTTACGAAAGATAAGCACTAAAGATAACTTGTGCCTCAGTCAGAAAGTGCAGACTTAAGGACAAAAGTCAATACATGGCACTGCAGTGCAGTACTGAGGAAGTGCTGCTTTGTTGCAAGCGCTATCCTTTGGATGAGACATCTCAAATGGAAGTAAAAGATTCCATGGCTCTCTATCAAAGAGGAGGAATTATTCACAGTGCTCTGGCCAGCCTTTGTCACACTATCTACAGTATTCACAGAATTTCTGATTATTATCATGTTGCTGTTTATGGGAGCTTGTAATGTGTTTACCACCATGCTTTCTACATTACAACAGTGACCAAACTTTAAAAAAGTACTTAATTGGCGGGATGCATGTTGAGAAGTCCAATGGTTGTGACAGGCACTACAAAAATGGAAGTTCTTTCTTTCTTGTAAAACTTTGCCAATACTGCATAAAACCATAGGAATTGCCAGATTAAAAGATGAGTTAAGGCACAATTTGGTTTATCTTCTATCATCCTGGTAGTTGCACAATACAACAACAAAGACTGAATACCATGATTAGTTATCAATTAATCTAGAACAGACCCAAGCATGAGAAGAGGATCAAACCTGAACTCCCTAAGTTGGTGAAACATGGACGCTTATTCTTCCCAAACTTATTAAATTCACCATAATGCCATGTTTCAAATTATTCATATACTCAGAAAATAATTGTGCAGTGCAACCAACATCACATGCCTTTAGTCATTTGTTTCTGAACACATCAGCTCAAAATACTATGGTCCAATAATATTTGTCAAGTCACATAACACACCATTATGGTCAGGAATAATCAACATCAGTGCTATGGTCAATTCCTTCCTTTTTTTAAAAAACTGACATAGAAAAAAATATTACATGCATTCAAGGTTTTTCAAAATTCATGTTTTGACCTTCCAATGTAATGCATTTTCCTTCCTCAAAGGGAACATATATGGTGTAAGTGAATAGAACCTCGTGAATTGAACAACTTCCTTCAGGAAGCTATTATTACGTGAAGTTTCCATGTACCATTGAATTGCTTCCTGAAAAAACTATAAAGTCAGAAAACAATTGGCATTTACAAAAAGGTAAATAAATTGAAGACAGAAGCAGCAATTAACAGGTACATAACAGGTCCTTGAAGGTATCTCAGTGATATTTGAAAATTAATTAACCTCCAGTGATTAGACTACACTTGATGCAACAAGGAAACAATTTCTCATTAGTCACATTGCAGGTAGATTACTAGATAGAAAAGGATCAGATAAAACGAATGTATTGTGAAATAAACGGCTCTAATATAGGGGCAACTATATTGCCTACTTTCACTGCACAATATAGTTGTGTTGTGTAGAAGTATCTAAGATAATGGTTCACTGTGTATTTATGGAATAGCTCTTTAGAATGTTGCTATTTAAAATTCAAAACAATCCAAATTAGACTGAAGGGTAAGATGGTGCAATTTCTCTCCATTCTATCTCCCCATTTAAGGTTCATGCTGCCTGCTTGTTTAAGTTATAACTAGAATTATTTCAAGGGTAAGTGACTCATATCTGAATCTGTAAATATTTAACATTGCCTAGAATAGGAAGAAGACTGTAGGCCCAAACCTGCTGTGGGATAGAAACAGCAACTGCAGGATCTAGAGGACCATCGTTTAATTCAATCATTTTGGGATGGAACAAAGTGACTGACTGCTGACTTCCACTTCTTGCAGAATCATTCTGCTTCCAACATCTGATTGCTGAGTGGATTTTAGTGATGGCTATAAAACAATGCATGCCTTCTACGTATGGAAGCAACCATAAATGCTTAGCGCGTCCATTCGTACCTTAAAAAAAAGGACATCCTGCCAGCCACTTGTTGAGATGAAGACTAACAGCATATTTTGATTTCAGAATTCCATTATTTGGAGATTTTTAAAAAGTTTAGGTGTATTTATTTCTAACCCAAATTAATTCGCTTTCCTTGAAACCAAGATTATTTTTCTTTTACATACCTAAAGTGCTATTGCACACAAAATTTTAATTTTTTTTTTCTCTTTTATCTACTACCAGTAATCACCTGTGACAGAGTTGTTTTGTTTTAATTAAACCTATTTTTTCTAATCAACCTGTTCACAGATGCTATACATGCCACTGGAGCAGGTGGGACTTAAACCCAGGTCTCTTGGTCCAAGAGTAGAGGTACTGCCGCTGTACCACAAGGGGGCCCAGAGTTGTTCTTATCCTAATTACAAGAAGGTCCTCGAGTGAACAGTGTTAAGTCAGTCTACTGCTCTTACAACAATTCCAGGAATACTGGGCCAAGCTCCAGAATTTGCATTTTACAACATAAGAAACAGGAGCAGGAGTTGGCTATCTGGCCCATTGAGCCTGTTCTGCCATTCAATAAGATCATGGCTGATCTTTTTGTGGACTCAGCTCCACTTACCTGCCTGCTCACCATAGCCCTTAATTCCCTTACTGTTCAAAAATGTATCTTTGTCTTAAAGACATTCAATGAGGTAGCCTCAGCTGCTTCACTGGGCAGAGAATTCCACAAATTCACAACCCCTTGGGAGAAGAAGTTCCTCCTCAACTCAGTCCTAAATCTGTACAATCACAGCATGGGCCAATCCTCAGTTTGATAATCTAAACTTGGGATATAATAAACAGGACTTTGGCATGGCTGCAGTGGCTTTTACCCCACAGCAGCCTGACTAAAAGATCTGTAACATTCAGGGTTCAGATTTGCATTGGTTCTGAAATTTCCTCCTATATCTGTTCCTTTGTGTCTTGGCAACTGTTCTGTTGTACTCCTGAAGGCCTTGGGACATTTCTAGTTCAAAGTTGTACGAAGGCAAGCTGTTTTAGATTAGAGGACCAGCAGGAAAGTGGTTTGGTTTTTGACTGGCTCCAATACTTAATAATGTGTATTTAGTTTCGGCTGTATACATGTGGGAGGGTCTTAATACGTGTCCACTCTTATGAGATTTGCAGAAATGTTAGGTGTACACACTTTACACTTCGGACTTGCCTGATCACATACTGGCTTTGTGTTGCTGCACCATTGCTGCCACCCCATCTCGTCTTGCTGCAAGACTTGATTGTGAAAGCTTTAACATGTTTGTATTTAAATGCGCTGTTGTGACAATGTCACGTGCAGCTGATCTTAAAAAAAATATTGGTCATCAGATGGTGCTATAATAACCCAGTGTGGAATTTTTCACCTGGATTAAAAAAAGATTTAGGATTTAGCCCTGTTTACAACACCTTTCACAAGCTCACAAAATCCCACAGAACTTGACAACCAATGTCAGAAAAGTAGCAGCGAACTGGTGCATAATATCCCACAAAAAGCCATGTAATAATGAATAGATAGTGGCCCAGATATTCCAAGCAGCAGCAACAATAGCAGTAACAATAACGTCTGGATTGTCACTGCACTCAAATGTTGCCCTTACACTATGCTGCTGCACATGTTTCCTCGGGTTTTCCGATGTGGCTTTCAGAGAACTATGAAGCCCTCTCCCTGGGGAATTCTGTCTGAAAAGGTAGGAAGTGCCTTGTTTTACATCACTCACTACCCTATGGGAATTTCAAAAGTCCAGTGTTAACATTAGTGAGTGAATGAGTGAGCTGGCAGGTTGGTGAGGTGGTATTTAGCACTAGAGGTAGGAAGTCAGGTCAATTATTTGGAGGGGTTTGTCAGCCTTGGTTGGGGTTTTGGTGTGGGGGGGTAGTTGGAGAGCAGTTGTGTAGTTACCTATGTGCTAATCTGTGTAATATTTCCTGGGTAACTATATAGATAGAAACAGTGGATCTGTTCTAGTCTTTGACTGTAACTTGGAGTTGGAAACATTCAAATAGGGTTTGGGGTTGTGGGAAAGCAGGGAAATTGTCCACTGTAAGTTTAAACTTCCCAGACAATTCTTGCATAGATCTACATGTCAGTACTTTCACAGGGTGCAGATTTCAGTTGGAGGTTTGGTCTGACAATGCTGAAACTGGACACTGGAAAATTTGTTTCTACGATATCAGCAGAATGATACATACCGCCCAGGTCACCAGGGAAAAGTCCCTGATCTTCTTCAAAGCAGTGCCCTTGCACCTCTTACATTTTCCTCAAGTGGGCAGAAAAGATCTCAATTTGACCTTCATCTCTGAGGATGCAGTACACCCTCAATGCTGCACTGATTTGTTAACCTGGATTTTATGTTCAGATTGTGTTTGAGCCCAAAAGCTTCCTACTCAGAGGGAGAATACTACTCCCTGATACCCAATTCAGCAAACCAAGATACTGCTGCAAAATCCTAATATGTTTGAATCCAGCATTTTTGCCAGTCACCTTGTGAGAGAAACCGCTCATTAACACACTGTTCCGTGCCAGCTCACACATATCACAGGAACTCAATTTCCATACTTGGGCAGCAATGCTGTATTCTTCCATCAGTGGCTCCTGAGGGAAACATGCAAAGATTAAGATCAGTAGTGCTGCAAAAAATTTGCAACATACAAAACACATCAAAAATTGCCAAAAAGATATCATGGGTCAGTCTTCCATGCTGTATTTCTAAAACTGGCTCCTACATCCCAATGGCAGAGCTGAAGACCATTACAACTCAAATCATTTAGCTTGTTCTACTTACACTACATTATGGCAACTTGCAGGCCAGTTCCAGGAACAATTAATATGTATATGTAGGAAACGTTGACATTCATGATTTATATTAAGACATACACATACATTAGTCAGAAAAACGTCAATTTATTGGGATACATATATTAATCTAATCCTGAGCCAAATACAAGCAAAGCAACTTTTAAAACTGAATTTAAAATTACTTGGTTTAATTCTGAATGCTTACAGTGGAAACTGGATGAAACTAAATGGAAATTTCTGTGACAAAAATCTATTATGTATCCAGAATTTAAAGCTTGTAAACCTAAACTAAAAATACTCAACAGTTCCAGTCCAAGGACTTCTTGATCATGAGTTGATGGAAACAAAATGACAGGTCAGTCAAATCTCATTCAGTCATAGTAAATGCATGACCTATTTTCCCAGATCAAGTTTTTAAAAACAAGCATACTTCCATGATTTTAAATAGCTTTGTGATTTGTCTTTCGCTTTCAATTACTAACATATGAAATAGGAGCAAAAGTAGACCATTCAGCCCCTCAAGCTAGCTCTGCCATTCAATAACATCTTAACAATCAGTTTGTGTTTCAAATTTCACATCCTCATTTATCCCCAATAACTTTTGATTCCCTTGTCTAACAAGAAACTATCCACCTCTGTCTTAAAATATTCAATGGCCTAGGCTCCAGCGTCTTCTAGGCAGAGTTCCAAAATTGCACAATCCTCTCAAAACATTTTTCTTCATCTCGGTCCTAAAACGGGGACCCCTAATTTTTAACTGGTGCTTGCTAGGTCAAGACTGACTCACAAAGAAAACATCCTTTCCACATCCATCTTATCAAGGCCATTCAATATCTTATGCCCTAATCAAGTCACCCCTCACTCTTTTAAACTCAAGTGGGAATAAGCTCAGCTTGTCAAACCTATCCAAATTATAACTTTTAATCATGACATTTCTTTAATCAGAATGATCATGAACATTTGCTGCATACTGAATCAATTCATCTCTTTTTCCAATCGGTCATCTTACCTTGGTAAAGTGAAACTGCAGAGGATCATCAGTAGAAAGAGATACCATTAGGCCTCTGGAGAGATACTCTGGCAGTGGGTTTCTATGATAACTCAAGAAAAGACTGTTGTTGCTTAGCGGGGACATTGCAATTCCAATCTGATCCAGGTAGTACAGATACTGCAGCACTGGAGCCTGCAAATTAAGCAGCAAACATTTCAGATCACACCAACACTACATGACAAATTTTAAAAAAATCAACTCCATATTTTCTAAATGAGCACATTTTTAAGGAAGTTAAAGCTCTGGACAACGAAATTATTACTCTGATTGTCTGATATGCACGTGAAGTTCTTCTCTAGTAGTGAGAGACAGTGCAGGGAAGTTTCAGATTGTAGGTCAATTCAAATGATAAAAGCAGTAACTGTTCACTGCTCAACCATCTACTTGTGTGGTCACACTGAAGGGGCTTGCCAATCAATGGCAAACTGCAGTCAGTTTTGTGCTGCGAATCTGAGCTAATTGGCAAAAATATCATTTATAGCCGATAAAGAATCTGCTTATCTATGCTTTGATTCAAATCCACATCTTGCAGTTGAAGCTACAATATCCTAAATCATTCTGTCACTCGTTCCTTTTAATCAAATATTTTCAAAATTATAATAGTCTCAATATTTGTATTTTTAGCTTTGTATACTGCAGTACATAATCTAAATTGAATTTAATTTATACCAACATATTAATAATTATACATATTTTAGGAAATCTCTCTTCTTTATTTTACTGAAACAATGTAAACTATTAATGATATTTGCAAGATCAACTCATGACTCACTTTTCTAAGTGACTGCGACACTATTGTTGCATCATAAAAGGAAGAGATGCGAGAAATCCAAGACAAAATAAATCAAAGGAAAATAAACATTTACCACAGCAAATGGACAAAATGATTTTGAATTTTTTTTTTCCCAAAATCTCAATACACTGAACAGAAACTGGACAGTTTCTTTTCTGTTCCATTTACTTCCTACATTAGTCCTTCTCTCCTGTAAGGGCAGACTTCCTCATTATGGTACCTTGCTAAAATAGTCAACATTTAACCAAGAATATATGTAGCAACTGTGCCTTGATAAACATCAGCTGGCCTTCCAAAGACGACATCATTTCAGTGTTATTTTGTTTGCATTCAGGCACTGTCTGGTCAGATTTATAGGATATACCATATAATGCAGAGGCACTATAATCAATTATGCAAATTGTAATGCATGAAAAGGCAGAGTAACTTAATGCACAGATAAGAACAACATCAGAAGGACATTTTCAAGTCTCAACAGGTGCATAACATGAGGATACTCAAAACACGTTGCTTTAAACAACCTTTGCATGCGGCATATTCCTAACCCTCATATGCTGTATGAGAAGATGCTGGGCACAGATTTGAACACATTACTAAATTAAGTTGTAAATGGGGAGTCAGTTGTTAATATATGCTTGTCAGCCTCTCTAATATGCCCATTTATCTTGCACTTAGAGAAGGCATTATATAAAACCAAACCATATAGCTTAAATGTCATGTCTTTTGGGGAGTGTTTTAGTGATAGCGACCACAACTCCGTACAGTTTAAGTTTTTCATGAAAAAGGCAAAAGATGGTCTGAAAAAAAGGATTTTGGATTGAGGAAGGCAGATTTTATTAAAATAGGGTAGGATCTGGCCAAAGTAGATTGGGAACAGCTACTTCTGGGTTAATTTATAGCAAAATAGTGGCGGTCATTCAAAGTAAAATTGGCGAGGGTACAGGTCCAATATGTTCCATTTTGGGTGAAATGTAGGAACAACAACCCCAGAGAAAACTGTCAATACAGTGTAGAGCTAGAGGAACACAGCAGGTCAGACAGCATCAGAAGAGCAGGAAAGAAAACATTTTGGGTTTATACCCTTCAGAGAACACTAGTTTAGGAATATTCATCACAGGACAAGAAGGAAAATACAGGCTTTTAGTAAATACAAAGGGAGCAAATCAATGAAGGCCTAAGTGGAATATAGAAAGTGCAGGGGTGAACTTAAGAAAGTAATTGGAGAGAAAATTAGGAGACATGACAAAAAAACTACTGGTGGGTAAGATTAGGGAAAACCCCAAGATATTCTAAGTAAATCAAGGAGAAAGAGGTTAACCAGGGAAGGAGTAGAGCCCATTAGTGACCAAGGGGCAAATCTGTGTGTGGAGCAGCAAGACATTGGAGAAGTGTTAAAGGAGTAGAGAAAGTCAAGAGTGGACCTGACTGAAGTGTGTAAGATTATGAGGAGCATGGATAGGGTGCACAGGAAGCAGCTGTACCCTTTAGTTAATGGTTAATAACAAAGAGACATATTTGAGGTGAAAGGCAGGAGCCTTAGATGGGATTTCAAGAAAAAGTATTTTCACCCAGAGGATAGTGGGAATCTGGAATGCACTGTCTGGGAGGGTAGTTGAGGTAGAATGGCCTTACAACATCTTAAAAAGTACTTGAAATTTAACACTCAAGGTTATGGACCAAGTGCTGGAAAGTAGGACTCGTGGAGATTTAGAGTAGTTTTTTTGTCAGTGCACACTCAATGGGCCAAAGGGTCCCCTCAATACCATGTATGCTATAATTCATACCTTTCGAAGCAGAAGACCATGGGAAATATTCTGAGAAAGCATGAATCCAGATATGAGATGGTGGATAGGACCAGCCTCTCCACAATGTGGCCGTAAGACAAACGTATTGAATCCCCTCTTCCTGGAAACGGAAATAGTAATAATAATCACAGCTTTGTTCAAATGAACCTCCAAACTTCAATTACTGAACAAACGCATTAAAATTTTGTACTCAAACATTTAAGATTTGAAATCAGATGCATGATTAAATAAGTAGAGAAGGAACAACTAGAACTTAAGGAAACAGTTAAAAAAAAAAAAAAATGGGTTTCACATTTAGCTCAGAGAACAGGAGGAATTTTTTTCCCCTAGAGGATTGTGAACTTTTACAATTCTCTTCCCCAGAAGCAGTGGACGTGGGTTGCTGAACATTTTTTAGCTAGGCAGATAAAGATAGATACTTGACTAAGAATGGAGTCAGTGATTTTTGGGGACAGGCAGGAATGTGAAGTTGAGGCCACAAATCAGATCAGTCATAAATTTTACTGGTGAAGCAGACCGGAAGACCGAATGGCCTACTGCTGCATGTCCATCCAAAAGCACATGAGGGAAAGATGAATAGGAGGATCCACTGATAGGGTGAGATAATGCAAGATTGAAGAGGCAGAAGTCCTATTTCAGCTACACTAAGCCCTTGTTAGGACATAGCTGGAACTGTTCACAGTACTCCAGATATCTTGAATTGGGAAAACGATATACTGGCCTTGAAACGAGTACAGCACAGATTTACCAGAACAATGCCTGGACTTCAAATTATTTTACAAGGAACAACTACATAAACCAGAGAAGTTAGAAAATTAAGCAATCATTTGATCAAAGTTCTGAAGGTATTAAGGACGTCAGAATGGGTGGAGAGAAATAACTATTTACGTGGGTACAGCATCTATGACCATCAAGGTACTGTATAAAGCATCAGTATTGGATCTTTTGGAAATGAAATTAAGAAACACTTGCACACACCATGGTCAGTAAACCATTGGAATATTTTCCAGAAACACAAATCATGCTGATCAATAGTTAGTTTTAAAACTGACATTGATAGATTTTTGTTAATGAAAAGGTATTAACGGATATCAAACAAAGGTGAGTATATAGAGTTGAGTTACTTATTAGCCAAATCTAATGGAATGGCACAACAGGGGCAAGGGAGTAAATGACCTATTGTTGTTCCTAGAGCAGAAACATTAGCATAGATCTACTGGGTTAAAATGGCCCATTTCTGTCCTGTAAAATTCTGTGCAAATCCACAAATAATGCTGTTACCCTGCTTCTACCAATTTGTACGGAATATAGCTTTCATCCAAACTACTAGATAGAGTTAATAAACAGACAGGTCCTCCTAATGCAGCAATTATCAGTGTAAGAGGTGACTGATAATGGAGGAACAACATATATTTTTCAACTAAGCAAGAGATGCACAATATGAATCTTCACCTGTGAAAGTTAAAAGCATTTAAGCTTTTTTCAGGAAAAGTAGCTATTGATACAAACAGAAGCTGTAAACCAAGATCTGTTTATGTTTTCATTTCTGTTGATGTAAAGGAAGTTGATTTTAAAGTAAAATTCTATCAAAAACACATGATGAAGTGGAACGTCAAGTCCAAAAAGATCTCCTTTTCCCTCTACTCAAATATCAAAGCACATTGATTTATTTTGTGTCAGATAGATAATGCACTATCAAGGTTGGGTATTTGTGAGAATCTTCTACGAGTGCAATTTTCCAGGTCTGGAGACAGGAAATGAACTTAATTTGGCAGGATGGTGGTGTATCTGAATCATCCCACCTGCCTGCCTTTATGTTCTGGGTGGGAAGGACCAAGCTCCACAAAGTTAATGGGCAGCACAGTGGAGCTCAACTCACACTAAACTGTGCCTCAGCCTCCCTCTGTCCATGACCCTGACGTACAGAGACGCCAGCCCCAAACCACTACTAATGTTTTTTGTGGGCAAACCTTCACTCTGGGATTTTGGAGCATGTTGCCCTGGCAGCAGCTGCAGCCTCCTTTGTGGCACTGCTGAGTTCTGTTCTGATTGGGCAGCAGCCCTTGGTGGCCAGGACTTCTTAGTCCATGGCAGCCAAGTGATCAGGCAACAGATTCCTCCCTTTTCAGACTTATACCAAAAATGGGAATATCCTGGCCCATAAGTCAGTCACAGTTATTCATGAATGATGTGAACCTTACTATTCTTTTTCGACATGTGGGACCAACATGCAAGAGGAGAAAAGATGTTATTCAAGATTCAGTGCAAAGTGAGTCAATCTGCACTTCAACAATAATATCCATCATCAACCTTGTTTCTTCTGACTAAGATACGTATTATCATTAATTATGGAGGAATGCTTTAAAGGTTATTCTGTTTTGAGACACTTAAACATAAACAATGGAAATAATTTGGAATGAAGCCCATACTTGCGAAGATGATTCAGAACCGTCATGTTAGCATACATGTAGTAAAGATAATAGGCATATGGTGGGTTATCATCTTCTGTCCAATTCATGGGTAAAGGGCTATCTGCATTAAAGATGTGATGTTCTGGTTTGGATTCATCATCGACACTATCAAAACCAACGACCTATAAAAGCAGAGAATTCCACTTATCATATAGATTCTCCATGTTATTCTCCTTAAAAGCTATTAAAGATTATGGTAATATAAGGAATTCTCCAGCACACTACAAGACAGCATTTTGCCTGAGAATTTATCTTTTAATTTCTGGATCACGGACGTAGCCATGGGAGAATATACCAAGATAATGTCAAGACTCCATAATAAGAGAAATTTAGAAATTGCATCAAAATTTGCCCTTGGCCACAGTGAAAATGTTAACACAGCAGCAGCAGTAGAAGTGCATGAATTCCATCTGTCTGATAAGGAGTAATATATAGGTTGGGAAAATTAAAAGTCAAACATTTTAAATTTAGCAAAGTAATAGTTTCTATGAAGGGCACAGTAAAGGCACGGTAATTTCTCCATTGATAGATATTCAGTTCAGTTGAATCTTTCCTGCACTTTACTCCATCATATTCGGCAGCTGTTGATATAACATGAACGAAATGTTAGCAGAGCAGGCTGAGCTAAGTGACTGAGCATGCACAGAAGTGGGATAATTCTGTCTCAACGTTACCTAAATCAGATATATGGTTTGCTCTTGGAACAGAATCCTACGTACTTGATTCTTACAAAGGAAATATAATCAAACACCAAGGTGGAATAATTTTTGAACAGATAAAACAATTATAATATTTTATCACACAACTCAAACTGAAGTAACATTAAGTTTTTTTTGGGAGAGAGAGTGCCACAGCTTTATGCTTCCAATTAGCAAATGTAATGCAAAGTCTCAATAATAGAAATTCAGATTCTGTATTACAATTCCTACCTCAATCACTGTCAAGGGACACAAGCTATGGCTCCTAGCCTGCAGGTACTTTTAAAAACAAAATCATGGGATGAAGGCATCAATTACTACCAGGGTCAGCACTTTCTGCCCATCCCTGGTTACTCTTCTGGTGGTGGTGCATTGCCATTTTGAATAACTGCAGTCCATTTGGTTTAGGTAGATCCACAGTGCCTTTAAAGAGAGAGTTTGATTTTGACCTAGCAACATTGAAGAAACGCAATAGTATTTCCAATTCAGGATGGTGAGCTTGGAGGGGAACTTGCAATGGTGGTGCTGCCCCTGTCATTAAAGATGGTTATTGTTGTGCATTTGAAAGGTTCTGCCTATGGGGCTCTGGTGAATTCCGGCAATGTGTCTTATAGATGGCACACATGCTGCTGAGTGCTGATGGTGGAGAGAGTCAATGTTTGTGCATGTGCTGCTAATCAAATGGGCTGTTTTCTCCAGCTTCTTGAGTGTTGGGTCATTCCCACTTGCATTATATTTGATATACTCACATGCTGAAGAAACAAGTGAAGCTCTGGGTGGTTGCGAGGATTAATTGTTGCTTCAAAGATGGGAATAAAAATGTTCTCCAACATGTCTTGGAAGTTGTTCAGCTGTTTCTTTGTACGGAAGACATCGCTGAAAGCAATTGGAAAGTGAAGCTAATTAACACATTCCTCCAGAGATTTTACAGCATCCATCATCTCAGCAGATGAAAGTGAATTTCGAAAGGTTTACTAAAATCCTTTGCATAATCATAATTTTTTTCCCCTTTCACAGGATTTGAGTTACTCGCAAAGCTAGCATTTGTTGCCTATTCCTAAGTGCCCACAAAGGGAGTGGCGGGCTGGGCCATTTCTAAGGGGAAATAAGAGTTAACCTAAGATTTTAGAGTAGATTTGTAGCTCAGGTTGCACACTACATTGGACAAACAGGAAGGAAATTAACCACAAGGGTACACAAATATCAATTGGCAACAAGAAGAAATGACCAATACTCACTCATCTCCATCCACGTGGATAAGGAGAGCCACCAATTCGATTGGGACAACACCAGGATCCCGGGACAGGCAAAGCAGAGAAAAGCACAGGAATTCCTAGAAGCCTGGTACTCCACTAAGAATGCCATCAGTAAACACAGTGCTAGACCCCTATACACTCCATTGCAAAGGAAAACCGGAAGTGAGGTAATCCATGTCAACGGACGCCAGAGTTTAAATAACAGGCGGGAAAACACAACAGCGCTTCAGAGGCTGCACTGATGATGTTACCCAGCAGGGTAATGAAACGTCTGTGGAACAATGAACCAGCTCAGCGAGCCAACCAATCACAATAAGAGTTAACCACATTACTGTGGTCTGGAATCATATATAGGCCAGACCAGGTGGTGATGGCAGATTTCCTAATTGCAAAGACATTAATGAGTCAGGTGGGTAATGGGGAACATGAACCTTGTCCAGATTTAGTAACTAAATTTAAATTCCACCAGGTTCCATGGTAGGATTTGAATCTGTGTTCCCAAACGTTAATCTGGGTTAATCATTAATCTGGATTACAAACCCAATGAGGTTACCACATCTTCCTGGTTGTAAACAATATGCTTTAAAAAAAGCCTTTGCTCTGAAACGTGTACAGACTTCTGAAAACTGGATGATATCCAAGTTTGTGTTATGAATAGCTCACACAATAATGATTCAGAAATCTGCAATGAGAAGTTGAAATAATGGATCAAGTTTATTCTCCAGGGCTCATCTGAGTTTTATCTGTCTTTAAAATATGTGCTCTGTAGTGAATGACTGAACCAATAAGTCCAAATAAAAAGACAGAGCTGAATGTCGAGTGTATCAGATCATGTCACTGAAATATTTTGCATGCCCAGCCACATCCAATTTCACTCCCATCAAGTTTAGGCATTGCCTTGATTTAAAACAAATCTGGAGTTCAAGAAAGCTGCAGTTTTACAGCGCATGATAATACTTACAAAAGCCGTGGAACCTGTACCAGCCAGCACACATTGTTGGAGTAGACTTTGTGCTTCACTGCCCACTTTGCCAGTCGATCCCATTCATCCCGGGAGCGACCATATACAGACAAGCGGAGCTCAGCATTCTGATACTTACTTTCTTCAAGATCTTCCATCACTTCCTGCAAGGTACAAAAGAAGTACTGGGAACTAGTTTGTTACAGATAGAAATATTTTCTAAGTCAAATGCTTTTTTTCACTTCCTCTTTCCAGCATCTCCAGTACAATGCACCACCCCTGACAATCCACCCTGTGGGTTCTCTACTCCTGAATACATGATGGCGGCTCATTGGGGTGGATCTGCCTTATCAACTTGTCCCTCCCTGTGCCTGACTTCTATCGGAGGCTGTTCGAAGCAGCACTGCTGAGATCAAGATTTAACATAGAGGATTAGTAAGAAACCTACTCAATTGCACTGCTATTTGGGTGTTTTGATGCATTCGTTAAATGAGGCCTGTCATAATTTTCCTTGAGAAATCTTTCACACAATGGGTCATAAAGTGTTAAATAGGTGAGAAACCACACACACTGTGCTTCAATTGTTTTAAATTCTGATGATAGGTCATCAGTCTAAAAATGTTAACTTTGTTTTTCTCTCTCCACATATGCTACCTTTTCCTGCTTATATTTTAGACTTGCAGATTTTAAAACGTTTTTCCTGGAAATGGCAGTTTTTACTGCCCATTGCCTTTGAGAAAGTGGAAGTGAGATCTCTTCTTGAATGGCAGGTTCTGCCATAGTGCTGTGAGAGAGGGAGTTCCAGGATTCAGACTTAGCATAGTGTTTTTGTTGTCAATCCTGTTTCAATGTTGGTTTGTGCTGTTTGAATCTGTGGGCCCCAAGATTCAATAAAAGCAAGTTTTAACAGTATGCCTCACTAAGGGAATAATCTTAAAACCAACATCTGTTAAATCAGCAATTTAAACCACGTGCAAATTAACATGAGTTTCACCTCCACATAAGGATCAAAAGGCTACATGGTATATGTTGCATAACGAAAAAAAGTTAACAATACTTTGTTAAAAATCATTAAAAAAAAAGTCCAACAAGTAATAGGCAAGGAATATTGGTGGATAAACAAATTTCAAGCTATGCATATCATTGCCATTTCAATAGCACATACACTGAGGCCCAACGTCTCCCGGTTTCAGCAAAATCTTGGAAATAGTTCCTTTAAGATTACTATACCCTTAAAGTTATTTGTAACATTATAGCTGTGCTTTTAATTTTTGTAGGAAATATAATTGTGTCAGAGGCAAACATATTACAACACAGAACAGTTTTATATCCAGGCATTAATTTCCTGATCACAACCACTGTCACAAGAAGCAGCTCAATGAAAACCAGTTACTCTGTATAACCGAGGAGAGGGAAACTCAGTGAGTTTCCCAGATGCATCGTATATGGCGTGCATCGCACTGAGACCAAAGGAAGGGACAGGGTTAATTCTTTTGCTTAAAAAAAAAGCATTAAACAAGAGAAAGCAAGTACAATATGCAAAACATTCACACTTCTTAAAGACTCTAACCTTTATAATGTGACCAAAATATTTGCCTTCAATGTAATTATCAGTCTTGATGAAAATCTCACGAAGAATCGATTCCCCAATTGGGTTATACTTGGCATTGAACTTATCAAACCGATGGAAGGTGTTTCGATCCTAGAACAGAAAATAAACTTTGTAAAGTTAAAGCTCCAACTTGCTAGCAAAAGTGGGACATAGATATCAAAGCCAAATGACCACACTTTCCAATTTGAGCTCCATTTACATTTGGCTGCACTGCACTCCTTCATCCATTTAAGACTGAGATGGAAGAATTTATTCTATTTGAGGGGGTTACTACATTGTGAAACGCCGTTTCAAAAAGAGCTGCAGAGGCCGAGCTATTGAATGCATTCAAGATTGAGTTAAATAGGTTCTTGATCAACAAATGAATTACTCATAATGGGGGCAGCCAGGAAAGCAGAGTTGAGGCCACAATCACATACTAGTGAATAGTGGAGCAAGATATTTCCTAATTAACCTGTTCAGAGACATTATGATAAACCTCTGGAGCAGCTGGGATTTGGACCCATGTCAGAGGCAAGGACATTACCACAGCGCCACAAGACAGTCCCTGAAATAATGGACCAACCTTTTTTTCCAATCATGCTGTTCAGAAATGTTATTAGACACCTCTGGAGCAGGTGGGCAAGGGTCTGAGGAAGGGTCCCAACCTGAAATGTCAGCTTTCCTGATCCTCTGATGCTGCCTGGCCTGCTGTGTTCCTCCAGCTGCACACTGTGTTATCTCTGACTCCAGTATCGGTAGTCCTTACTATCTCTGGAGCAAGTGGGACTTGGTTTCCCAAACCAGAGGTGGGGATACTACCATCATGCTACAAGAGGACCCCTCAAACAGTGGGCAAAGCTCGAGGAGATGAATGACCTATACCTGCTCCTAATTCTGGTGGAAGGGCTGAATTCAGATAATTAAAGGCTCTCTTGTGATGCAGTGGCAGTGTTCCTAACCCCTGACAGAGAGACCCAGGTTCAAGCCCCACCTGCTTCAAAGGTGTGTTATTTCATGTCTGAATGGGCTCGTTAGGAAAAACAGGTTAATTGAAAAGAATACAGAAAAGTTAGCACTCAGAGGGATTTGGATCCTTATCATAAGTTACAGAAGGAAAGAAAGGTAGGAAAGTAAATGAAATGCTGTTGCAAGGATGTTGGAAATGTCTTGCTGCAATTAGATAAGGTTTTGTTTTGACTACACATTGGAGTGCTGTGCAGAACTTTGGTCTCCTTAGCAAAAGAATTTGCCTTAGGGAGGGTGAAGCAAAGCTTCTTTATATTTATTCTTGGGATGAGAAGCTGACCTCTGAGAAAGGATCATATATTCTCTGGCACTTTCAAGAATGAGAGGTGATTTTATTTGAACATATAAAAATCTGTGAAGGCTTGACAAGATAAATTCTGAGAAGCTGTTGCCCTGGCTGGAAATTCTGGACCTTGGGTTATGGTCTCATGGTAAGGATTCAACCATTTAGAAAAGCAATGAGAAATCTCTTCACTCCGAGTTGTAATCTTCAGAATTCGCTACCTCAAAGTGCTGTGATGATCAGTCTCTGGGTAGCTTCAATACTGCAGAGTTTTGAACTCTATGGTAATCAAGGGATTGAATGGTAAAGTGAAGTTGAGGAAAAATATATGCCATTATCTTGGTTCAAGTGTCATATAGTGTACTGATGCTCTTCTTCCACTTGGTCTTATTGTTAGCGTAATACACACTTACTTAACTGTGAAACTGCTTAATTATACTTTGTATAAAGTGTCTGTAGGATTCCATTTTAGCTTTTAAATATATTGCCAAAAATGCTCAGATTTTTAAAATGATCCCCCGTTTTAATGGGTTTTAATTGACAACTGGTAGACTTGCTAACTTGGAAGATGTCTGTAAATCTAACTTCCTGCTTTCTCTGATCCAACACATCAAAATATCATGACCTACAAAACATCTTCCCTTCTGCCATTGTAGTGTTCTGTCATGAAGGGTTTCTATTTATCTTTTGAAATCTATGCTCATTTATCTCCATATTTAAAATCATAGAATCTTTAGAGTATGGAAGCAGGCTGTCTTCCAGATTTTTCTAATATCTCTAACTGCTTAATTTATTTTGCATTTCAGCTGTACCCATGTAGGAAATGTGATCTTCATCACTGTTTTTCTTCGCTTTACTAGTATTTAATATCCAGAAATAAAGTTCAAAAAGTTATTAGACACTTTGACCTATTAACTTTAGCCCCAACCTCAATTATCAGTGGGGGCCTAGCATCTTACCAAGTCTTACAGAATTAAGGCAACAAGATTACCTACATATATTAGTTAAGCAAACTACTGCTCACAAATTTAGTTTTCCAAACATTTTTACTTTTTAATACGACTCTTAAGCAGCATTTATTCTCATCATAAACCTCATAATATTTTCATCAGCAGGAATTTCCCCTGATTTAGAGGGACGTGCATAACTTGGTTTCCTTCACCTAATTCAAGGAGCAACAATAATAGTTGTTGTGCACTGTTACGCCAAAGAAAAGAAGCAGAAATTGATTGTAAAGGCTGCTGTCAATCAGACATTTCCCTACAACTATCACTCATTCATGTACAAAATAAATGGCAAGTATTAATAGAGCTCAATGCTTTACTACTTAATTACTTTTCAAAACATGGAATGATATGAAAGCTACAGGGGTCTGAGGCACATCAATACTACTATGCTGCTAAACCTTTTATTGCCTAAACTGAAGACTTGTTTATCTAAACTTCTTCACTGTTGCATTAGTTAGATTCCTCTTCACTGATGCCTTGTACATTTCTTCATGGTTTGTTAGTTTTCTCTCCTTTGATCTCTGGTGTTTTCCTGTGCAATCACTGCTCTCCCAATATACAGTCTCCTTGTTCCTCTTTGGAGCAGCTTGAAATTTAGATTTACATGGCAGCATTATGGGTTATGCTACCTTTGCAAATTCCCCCGAGCGCCTCTTAAAAATCCTTAGCTGTAACTGGAATGACAGGCTTGTGGGGATTTGTAACAGTGTTTTACATTATGATGACATGAAGGGCACAAGTAGAAAATCACAATTAAGCGAAGAGGTAAAATTCACACAGTAGAAGGAACATTGAGATTATCATCTACCACAATTCAAGTTCAGTCGGAAATATCCTTCAAGAAATGTCATATTTTTAATATACATGTGGATGATTAGAGCTTTTAGTTTGAAATCCCAGACATCCGTGCTCACCCAAGCTGCATGATTGAGCAGAAATGTAATGTTTTTGCCCACATATTTCCCTTTGGAGTGTTTGCAATCTTAGCTTTGTTAGCAGAGACTAATGGAAACAGATCACTACCCCAAAAATCCATCTAAATCCACTACCATCTGGGCACTGTCTATCTGGTTCCTTAATCATGACGGAATATCATAAAATATTTCCACATCACCTCAGCTAATGGTGCTACAAAATGATGGTTCAATTCCATTTCAACCATTAGTGTACTTCTAGGAAGTAAAAGAAACATTGAAAATATGGAACAACTCAGTACCAAAAGCTTTCAGAAAAATACATCAGTTATCCAATCTGAACAGCCTCTGCACTAGCAGCCCCTTTGTTCAATCTAAACATAGCGATAATGGCTAAGAACACCAGAATAATTAATTGTCAATAAAAATAGTACACCTACAATAACTAATGGAAAGCTTTGTGGAAAAGTGATACATGTTTAGTCCCATCTGCCACAGAGGTGTGTCATAACATGCCTAAATTGATTAAGAAATTTTCTGTGCACTAACTAATGGCATACAAATAAGACTTTTTTTTCAATGTTCTTTGCAATTTTAGGCAATCCAGTCCAGCTACAGACCAAACTCTTTAGCCTGCTAAAATTGTTAAAGAAATTAAAATAACTGACAAAATTTAACTATCAAATTCATTCATGGTGCAAGACACTACCAAAGGTGAAAATGTTAAAACAGCTTTGCATTAAAACAGTGGTAAGTGAACAGATGACTTGAAGTCAAGTTTTAAGTTTAAACGTTGTAGGAAGGAGGAATCAAATCCATAGTTCTGATGTCCCAGGAGAGGTTGATAGGCTGGGATGACTTATAATTTCAAAATAGTTAATTTCAAGAGTTTATAAGTGGAATCGAACCCAGGGGTGGGGCAGCATGGTGGCACAGTGGTTAGCACTGCTGCCTCACAGCACCAGGGACTCAGGTTCGATTCCGCTGTTGGGCAACTGTCTGTGTGGGGTTTGCACATTCTCCCTGTGTCTGTGTGGGTTTCCTCCAGATGCTCCGGTTTCCTCTCATAGTCCAAAGATGTGCAGGCTAGGTGGTTTGGTTGTGCTAAATTGCCCCTAGTGTTCAGGGATGTGTAGATTATGTGGGTTATAGGGGTTGGGTCTGGGTGGGATGCTGCAAGTGTGGACTTGTTGGGTCGAAGGGCCTATCTCCACACTGTAAGCATTCTACGATCTCTTCTGTAAGTAGTGGGTGACGTGTTTGGAGTTCATAAAGAAGAAGGAAGTTCACTTGCTAAATTAGCATTGATGACTAGTCCTAAATTAGATTCTAACAGATGTTGAAGGTTAGGAAATGAGATAAATATTTATCTTGATTTATAATTTTGGTACCAATTATCCTCACTGCAAAACAGCATGATACACAAAGATTTGTTGTCACTTTCAAATTTCTTATGGCAATCCACAGGCAACCGTTTCTTTTCGACTATCCCCTATTATCTGTCCTTGAAAAGCTCAATCACTGCCTGTCGCTTTTTAATTACAATCATACAATTACTTTATTTGATGTTGCACTGCATGTTTAGTAACATGGCACAGTGTGCACATTTCTAGTGAAAACCTTTAAAACCAAAATGACTTCCCCTCACATACTGCATAATCTGCAGACTTTGCCTGACAAGGTCAACACTACTTTATAGCAAATCACAGATGGTCCAAAATCTAAAGAGACTTGCCCTAATTCAAACAGAGATGCAGCAGGGTATGATGAAAAACAAAAATAAATTGAACAAAGAGAAACCTGGCCAAGGGATTGAAAATAAAATTAATTAAAAGTGATTATAATAGCGGAACAGGAAGGAGGCAGAAAGGGAGATATAAATAGGTTACAGCTTTTTATTCACACCCCATAAATCATAATTATATAGAAGAATTAAATGTATAGCAATTACTTACCATCTACACCAACCAGAACATTCAGCCCAAATATAAATCAAGATTTATCTCAGCTTAAGATTAACATTTAAACTATCACTTTTACGAATAAGACACTTGCGGAATCTATGCTTAAAAAAATGGAATGAAGGTTTAAATATCCTGAAGGTACAACACCTCAAGTAATGTTTCACTCACTGAGATAATTGAATTAAGAGTTAGTGAAGAACGGGATACTTGACACTGATTCATAATATCAGTGCACATTTCAAAGACAGCAAATGCTGGCACAAACCTTGACATGAAACACAAATTTTCATCTTTTAAGCTTCCATCAATGAAATTTTGAAGGAGAAGGGAAATCTAAGAATCAATACTGTGAATACCAAGTACTTACCCTTAGATGTGACACAGGTTTCTTTTTATGAACACTGATCCCATTAATATAGATTTTTTTCAATAGTCTTGTATTCATCACAAATACAATGAACACATTTGGCTTTCTAGGCCAAAGAGTTCCCATTATCACAGGTTATCTTCCAATTACATCAGTGTGATTAGTCTTTTCTTCAATCCATGATGGATGGTTTTTACTCCCTTCCAACCTCCCACAGTTCCAGTTGGGTTTTTTTCACTTTGGAGGAATCAACCCTCAAAAATTTACGATAAGATAATTAACAAAAAAAAAACCCAGGCACACATCTAGGGATTCGTACTTACTATTCATAGTACTGAGGCTCAAGTCCCCTTCTCTTTTCACAAAGAATCCAAATTCTGCCAGGATTTAAAGAAGAGGAAGCCATTTATAATCTAGATGGGGAATTAACTTTAAACTACTTACAAGAATCAAAATTTATCTTAAAGGCTTAGGGCAGAATTTTATTAAGGTGTCTCACTTGCTAACTGGAGGGACAATGAGAGACCTGTGCTGCCTCACTTCAGGAGATCTGCTCAGACACATGCCAGCCAAACAGTGGCCACACCAGTGGCAGGCTTTCTCCTAGAATCAAAACCCTGTGAGCTCCAGAAGGCTGCAACAGTCAAAAGCTAACATTTCCACAGAGAAGGCTATGGGTGCTGCCAGAAGAATAGGCACCAGGAGAGCAAGGATCACAGAGTGACTCGGGGCACAGTTCAGTCATGATACTGTGGTGTGAGTTTGCCTGATGCTAGCAGTGAGGAAAGTGGTGGAAGGAAGATCAGTGGCTCTTGGTGGACCAACCTTCTTGATGCCCAGTCCCTCAACTGAGGGATCCCATCTAATACACAAGGGCGATGATGTTAGACTCTGTTTTAGCTGGCATGTATATCACACAGTGACAGGCCCATCTATAACTGAGTTAATACCAGTGGCAGTGGAATGAAGCCCTTAAGTGGTCATTAAGGCCACTTAAGAACTTCAAACAGCAACAGAGCAGAAAGGTTCACCACAGGCCTTGCTGCCCATATCAATCCGGCAGAGAGAGGAAGGCGATGGGATTCAGACACACCACCATTCTGTTTAACGAAATGCCTTTCCTATCTCCTAACATGCCAGAGAGCTCAGAAGATTTCACAACATGTGGGTAAAAATGGGTGATATAAAGGCTGAAAGATAAGTAACAAGTTCATTCCCTTGATTGGTGAGACATTAATTGGGAAAGCTGTTGGACACTCACTAATTTTAAAATCTCTGCTATGGAAGCTTAAAAAAAAGCAAAGCTTCCAGTTTAGATGACAAGCCAGTGAACCCCTGTCACAAAGCATATAGCTACAAATGTCAACAGAGGACAGCACCAAGCTTGGTCATGATACTCACTCTATCGAAGCTCAAAAATGAAAGGCGATTTGTCATTGATCGTACTACTGGAGAATCGTGCTGGTTTTATTTCCCTCAGGTGGCAGATGATAATGGTACCCTTGAAAAAGGTTCAGAGGAGAACAGGAATGACTCCCACCTTAAAGAACCGTAATAATTCAGATTGGCATAAAGAGTTTGGTCTCTTCATATTATCACAAACTTCAGAGGTGACATGCGCAGCATTATATGTCTATGATAAAGCTATTTTAGTTCGACACGTACAGCAGGACTGAGGTAATGCGTTTAAACTATGCAAATGTTGAAACGGCTCGATGTTAGACTCTTGTCTCCAGAGGGAGCCAGTTCTTGGTTGATCAGAGGTTGCCACACCTAGGAGGTTCCCAAGAGATCACATACTAGCAGGAAGAGGGGTTTGGCAGGGCAATAAGTGTCTAATTATGGTTTACCAGGCATCATGTTTGGACAGACTTGATGGACTGGTTGATCATATCCGGTCCATAATTGCCATATGTTAATGAATTATTCCATCATTTGGAATGGTACCACTGAATGTCTGTTTAACCATTCACTAGATGGGGTCAATGTGCTCTTGAGAAAAGATGACAAATGCTCTACAAAAAAAAAAGTAGGTTTCAGTAAAGTTATTTAATTTTAGAGGGAGCAACCGTAATCTGACAAAGGGTTTCTGTACTTTGCTTAACGTCACTTGTAGGATTGAAAGGCTAAACAAATTAATTTGCTTGTGGTCAGATGAAAGAGTGATAACATATCCCAGAAAGTCACACTTTGTGTAAATGCAACACATGGAATGCTGTTTAGAACATTCCAAGTTCTTCAACATTAGCAGAAGCAACAGGTAAAACAAAATAGTTACACAGCTCTTTTCAATGTTAACTCAAGAGTCACTGATTTTTCTGCACCAGGATAATTGCAACTATTTTGTTTGTTGATTTGTCTTTCCTGCCTCCCTGACTTTTGAAATTAGTCACTACTTCATTGTAAACACATTGGCATGAAATGTGTTGCAACACCTTTACTACTATAACTAACAATTAAGAGATGCAAAGGAAATAAAGTGGAGAAATCGCAAGTGAAAACAAGTTCCCGTCAAGCCATGGCACACATTTACCTCTTGTTTGGTAAAATAAGGACTTAGCATTGTTTAAATCCCATTTAAATACATTACAAAAGCATTGGTAATGCTAACTAAAATCAGCGTGCTCTCTGTGACCAATAGCTTTTACTGCCTCTGGCAAACTACATTCTGTGCATACCGCATGCATGTCTAGTGTGTCCACGCTGAGATCGTATGCTGTGAGGTTCATGCTCTCAAAGACATCCTTCAGCGTCTGTCCTTTTCCATTTTCCACGTGAATAATTTCATCTGGGTTCTTCTTCATTGAACGCTTGATAAAACGGAGCAGGTGTTTCTGGTTCATGCAGGATGATGCATGAATATGGGTATCAACCTATTAGTTAAGGAAAAAGGTTACAAATGTAGGAAATCCTCATAATTTGCAAATAATTTACTGAGCTATTCAGGGCAGGCTTTTGAATGATAGAGCAGGCGGGAATCTGGCATATTTGAAGTTTAACTAAAATGCCTAAAAGTTTTCAGTTAATAAAATACTGCTGTATTTACTGGTAGGTGGAGAATATTATGATTTTTCTTCCCACTAGTCGTCTTGGAAGAAATGGATCATATTTAAATACTGATACTAAATTAGATGCAAAAATAAATCAGATTTAACATGAAGAAAGTCATGCATACATTGGTCAACTAGATTTTGAAGGTATTTGTACCCCCTATCTCCACATATTTAAGACATCCATCAAGAGCCATGCAACTAGTGTCCCAAAATTAACATGTGAGCAAAATACTTTGAATGAAGCACTGGATGAGCTACAAAGGAAAACAGACATGAGAAGCCTATTTTGAGCTAATTTACTCATCTTTGCAATCCACATACTTTAATCAGGTTTTTAATTAAATAGCTAGGATAGTTAAAATAATACATTTAAAAGGCAGAGATATCAAGGTGTAGAGCTGGATGAACACAGCAGGCCAAGCAGCATCATAGGAGCAGGAAGGCCGACGTTTCGGGCCTAGACCCTTCATCAGAAATGGGGGAGGGGAAGGGGGTTCTGAAATAAATAGGGAGAGAGGGGGAGGCGGATAGAAGATGGATAGAGGAGAAGATAGATGGAGTGAAGACAGACAGGTCAAAGAGGCGGGGATGGAGCCAGTAAAGGTGAGTGTAGGTGGGGAGGTAGGGAGGACGGACAGGTCAAGGGGGCGGGATGACGTTAGTAGGTAGATGGGGGTGGGGCTTGAGGTGGGAGGAGGGGATAGGTGGGAGGAAGGACAGGTTAGGGAGGCAGGGACGAGCTGGGCTGGTTTTGGGATGCGGTAGGGGGAGGGGAGATTTTGAAGCTTGTGAAGTCCACATTGATACCATTAGGCTGCAGGGTTCCCAAGCGGAATATGAGTTGCTGTTCCTGCAACCTTCGGGTAGCATCGTTGTGGCACTGCAGGAGGCCCAGGATGGACATGTCGTCTGCGGAATGGGAGGGGGAGTTGAAATGGTTCGCGACTGAGAGGTGCAGTTGTTTAGTGCGAACCGAGCGTAGGTGTTCTGCAAAGCGGTCCCCAAGCCTCCGCTTGGTTTCCCCGATGTAGAGGCGGCCACAACGGGAACAGCGGATGCAGATGTAGAGGAAAGGAATGCAAAAACGGTTCTGGAGAGGAGCGAAAGTAACAGGGTAGTTGTTATGGGGGACTTTAACTTTCTAAATATTGACTGGAAACGCTATAGTTCGAGCACTTTAGATGGGTCAGTTTTTGAGGCGAGGCCACATTGGATTTGGTACTGGGTAATGAACTAGGCCAGGTGTTAGATTTGGAGGTAGGTGAGCACTTTGGTGATAGTGACCACAATTCGGGTTACGTTTACTTTAGCGATGGAAAGGGATAGGTATATACCGCAGGGCAAGAGTTATAGCTGGGGGAAAGGCAATTATGAGGCGATTAGGCAAGATTTAGGATGCATAGGATGGAGAAGGAAACTGCAGGGGCTGGGCACAATTGAAATGTGGAGCTTATTCAAGGAACAGCTACTGCGTGTCCTTGATAAATATGTACCTGTCAGGCAGGGAAGAAGTGGTTGAGTGAGGGAACCGTGGTTTACTAAAGAAGTTGAATCTCTTGTCAAGAGGAAGAAGGAAGCTTATGTAAAGATGAGGCGTGAAGGCTCAGTTAGGGTGCTTGAGAGTTACAAGTTAGCCAGGAAGGACCTAAAGAGAGAGCTAAGAGGAGCCAGGAGGGGTCTTTAGCTGGTAGGATCAAGGAAAACCCTAAAGCTTTCTATAGGTATGTCAGGAATAAAAGAATGACTAGAGTAAGATTAGGGCCAGTCAAGGACAGTAGTGGGGAGTTGTGCGTGGAGTCCGAAGAGATAGGAGAGGTGCTAAATGAATATTTTTCGTCAGTATTCACACTGGAAAAAGACAATGTAGTCGAGGAGAATACTGAGATACAGGCTAGTAGACTAGACGGGATTGAGGTTCATAAGGAGGAGGTGTTAGCAATTCTGGAAAGTGTGAAAATAGATAAGTCCCCTGGGCCGGATGGGATTTATCCTAGGATTCTCTGGGAAGCTAGAGAGGAGATTGCAGAGCCTTTGGCTTTGATCTTAATGTCGTCATTGTCTACAGGAATAGTGCCAGAAGACTGGAGGATAGCAAATGTTGTCCCCTTGTTCAAGAAGGGGAGTAGAGGCAACCCTGGTAATTATAGACCAGTGAGCCTTACTTCGATTGTGGGTAAAGTGTTGGAAAGGATTATAAGAGATAGGATTTATAATCATCTAGAAAGGAATAGTTTTATTAGGGATAGTCAACATGGTTTTGTGAAGGGTAGGTCGTGCCTCACAAACCTTATTGAGTTCTTTGAGAAGGTGACCAAACAGGTGGATGAGGGTAAAGCGGTTGATGTGGTGTATATGGATTTCAGTAAAGCGTTTGATAAGGTTCCCCACGGTAGGCTATTGCAGGAAATACGGAGGCATGGGATTGAGGGTGATTCCGCAGTTTAGATCAGAAATTGGCTAGCTGTAAGAAGACAGAGGGTGGTGGTTGATGGGAAATGTTCATCCTGGAGTTCAGTTACTAGCGGTGTACCTCAAGGATGTGTTTTGGGGCCACTGCTGTTTGTCATTTTTATAAATGACCTGGATGAGGGCGTAGAAGGATGAGTTAGTAAATTTGCAGATGACACCAAAGTCGGTGGAGTTGTAGATAGTGCGGAAGGATGTTGCAGGTTACAGAGGGACATAGATAAGCTGCAGAGCTGGGCTGAGAGGTGGCAAATGGAGTTTAATGCGGAAAAGTGTGAGGTGATTCACTTTGGAAGAAGTAACAGGAATACAGAGTACTGGGCTAACGGTAAGATTCTTGCTAGTGTGGATGAGCAGAGAGATCTCGGTGTCCATGTGCATAGATCACTGAAAGTTGCCACCCAGGTTGATAGCGTTGTTAGAAAGGCGTATGATGTGTTAGGTTTTATTGGTAGAGGGATTGAGTTTCGGAGCCATGAGGTCATGTTGCAGCTGTACAAAACTCTCGTGCGGCTGCACTTGGAATATTGCGTACAGTTCTGGTCGCCATGTTATAGGAAGGATGTGGAGGCATTGGAGAGGGTGCAGAGGAGATTTACCAGGATGTTGACTGGTATGGAGGGGAGGTCTTATGAGGAAAGACTGAGGGACTTGAGGCTATTTTCGTTAGAGAGACAAAGGTTAAGAGGTGACTTAATAGAGACATACAAGATGATCAGAGGATTAGATAGGGTGGACAGTGAGAGCCTTTTTCCTCGGATGGTGATGGCTAGCACGAGGGGACATAGCTTTAAATTGAGGGGTGATAGATACAGGACAGATGTCAGAGGTAGGTTCTTTAGTCAGAGAGTAGTAAGGGCATGGAATGCCCTGCCTGCAACAGTAGTAGACTTGCCAACTTTTAAGGGCATTTAAATGGCCATTGGATAAACATATGGATGAGAATGGAATAGTGTAAGTTAGATGGGCTTCAGATTGGTTTCACAGGTCGGCGCAACATCAAGGGCCGAAGGGCCTGTACTGCGCTGCAATGTTCTATATTCTATGTACACCACATTCGCAGATGTGCAGGTGAACATCTGCTTGATGTGGAAAGTCTTCTTGGGGCCTGGGATGGGGGTGAGGGGGGAGGTGTAGGGGCAGGTGTAGCACTTCCTGCGGTTGCAGGGAAAAGTGCCGGGTGAGGTGGGGCTGCAGGGGAGTGTGGAGCGGACAAGGGAGTCATGGAGAGAGTGGTCCCGCTGGAAAGCAGATAAGGGTGGGGAGGGAAAAATGTCTTCAGTGGTGGGGTCAGATTGCAGATGGCGGAAGTGTCGGAGAATGATGCGTTGGATCCGGAGGTTGGTGGGGTGGTACGCGAGGACGAGGGGGATTCTGTTTTGGTTGTTACTGCGGTGAGGGGGTGTGAGGGATGAGTCCCACCCCCTTGACCTGTCCGTCCTCCCTGGACTGACCTATCTCCTCCCTACCTCCCCACCTACACTCACCTCTACTGGCTCCATCCCCGCCTCTTTGACCTGTCTGTCTCCTCTTCACCTATCTTCTCCTCTATCCATCTCCCCCTCTCTCCCGATTTATTTCAGAACCCCCTTCCCCTCCCCCATTTCTGAAGAAGGGTCTAGACCCGAAACATCAGCTTTCCTGCTCCTCTGATGCTGCTTGGCCTGCTGTGTTCATCCAGCTCTACACCTTGTTATCTCAGATTCTCCAGCATCAGCAGTTCCTACTATCTCTGAATTATCATATAATTTTCTTACCATAATTTATCATAAAACCTATTTGGTTTACTTTAGGGGATCTGCTGTCCTATTAGGGACGGCCAAATTGTTACTCAAAACTACAGAAACATATAGTTGATCTTTAACAGCTCTCTGAATTACACAAACAGCCATTCAGTCCATTCAAAAAGTTGGATCACCAGTATCTCAGCAGTAATAAATGTAATTCCCAAATGAATTATAAAGAGAGAGACCTTTAAACAGCACAGCCCACCACATCGCTTTTAACTTATGGTACTCAGTTTCACACTGCCTTTTATCAGCCACCATTTTTGACTCTGTTGGTCGACAGAATTCCTTGGAGCAATTTGCAATGCCCATTAATTGATGACTGAGATCTTAGTGGATGTTTTAGAGTTCCGAACTCAAAAGTAATTTACATTCATAAAACTGTTCTTCTTTCATTGCAAGGGAAAATAAATAATCTCTAAGTGAACTAATTTAATATTACAAGTTCCTGGGGTAGGAGGAACATAAGAATATTTCAAAATATTAAAACCTTTATTGTATTTTACTTCTTTGCAGCTTGCCAGATTATATCTGAATGTTTCATGTTCCCAGCAGTAGCTTAGTATTTGAACAGTGTGCTCTGTGTTGACCCTTTTTTCTATACTACTGCTACAATGCTGCATGGAACACATTTTATGGTAATCATCATGATGGCAAAGATTTAATTAACTACAGTATTCTTGCCTATGAGTTGGTGATTCATGCTTATGAAGTAGTGCTCAGAAGTTTATTTCTGTAAAATTTAGTTTCTTATCTTACAATCTAGTGAAAATGTATCCCTCTTTAGTACTAAAATAGTTACTTAATTTGTATAAATAATTACAAATCATACAGCATGGAAATTAGTAAAATAAAAGAAAAAATTTAAATAAAACTACATTGAATTAAGATTTATTACAGTAAACCTTTTATTAATGAGCACTTATGGGACCTGGAATGTATCAGTCAATCAAGATGTCCACATAATCAATGTAAAAACACATACTAAAGTAACAGAAACTAAGTAATGCAGGGGGCACTCACACTGTTATACTTCATTTACAGCATAAAATCACTTAAATAATAATGCAATTTTGCCTTAAGTAGAACTTACCAGCAGAGAGCCTTCTCACTTGCACCCTCAACAGACTACTTAGACATCGTAGAGACTGCAATAATACAGTATTTAAGGAATATAATTTTTTGCCAGTATATTGAGAGTGCTGGTTAAAACAAAATTTGCTGTAATTTTATAGTGCTTTCCATGACTACCAGGCACCTCAAAACAATTTACAACCAATGAAGTACTTTTTGAGGTGCATTTGATATCACAATGTAGTGGCAACCAATTTTCACTCAGCAAACTCCTACAAACAATTCTGCGATAATGACCCAACAATTTTTTCTTGCAATATTGATTGAGAGATACAGTCAAGATATTGAAGGCAATTCCACTGCTCTTCTTCAAAATAATCTCACAAAATCTTTTTTAATCCACCTAAGCAGGCAGATGGGGCCCTGATTTAGAATTTGCTGTGACAAAAAATAAAATCTGACAGTGCAGTGTTGCTCAAATACCATAACGTAGTGTCAGCCTTGATGTTTTGAAGTGGAATTTACATCAGGAACCTTGTGATTCAGAGACAAAAATTGCTACCAATTGAGCAATGACTTATAAATCTGATTTCTAATGCTTGCTTGCTGGATGCATTCCTATTACCAGTGCATTGCACTCAGCAATACTACTGCACTAGTGCCAATTACATTCAATAACTATTGCAAAACATCCTGACAAGCAACATAGATGAATAAATATAGTCCTGAAGAGTTTTTTATTCTTAATTTCTCATACAGAAAAAACTCTGCATGTGGGTTTTTGATACACTGGCAGCAACACATAAGAAACACTGACAGTTCATCATGACCACCTGGCTTCATGCAATGCCACATGCGGTTATTTCCCAAAGAAAGTGTGTTTCCCAAAGAAGTGGTTAAAGATAGTAAGAGCGGAGTAAAAGATACTGATGTGCAATGTGTAAGACAAAAGCATGAACGAGAGTAAAAAGAAAGTTCTCAGTTTCCTTACTTTGCGAATATTGTAGAAGTCTCGATGTGGGACTTTCTTCTGAGCAGCCAGTTCTTTCATTTCATTTAGTAAAACATGCATCTGGAACTTTGAACTCAGGTACTGCAGCCTTCGATAGCAGAAGGATTTCCTGTTGGCCCATAAGGAAAATAGTTCGCTAATTATTCATCAACTCTCACAACATTCAAGAATAAAATGTAACTGAATTATTAAACCTGTAAAAAATATTAACATGACTTATCTGTACTATTTGGTGCAAGTCTTTTACGCAAACAAGACTTTGCTTAACCGGGAACCAATTAAATCAGCGAACACTAGACATGGTGAGAATTAGGATACAGCAGAATTGTGGACAAGCTTACATTTTTTGAATATTGAAAGCTAGAATGGTAGCAAGGAGCAGACTGAAATGGTCAAGTTTAAAAGTACAAAAAGGCATGATTCAGAGTTTCACCAACAAATGAGCAAACATATGGGTATAATCCAGCAAAATTACAGAGGTGGAAACTGACAGTAACTGAAAACTGAGAGTGGAAACTGGCACTGGATTGTATGGACAGAAGCTCATTTCAAGCTCAAATACAAATGTATGGATACCACAGTGTCGTTCAGACATCTTTTCAAGAAGAGGGAATGGTTAAGAAATGGAATCTGCAGGTTTTGAAACTGTTTCTGCTCATTCATAACCAGATGTAAGAGAATTAGTTTGACAAGTTACAGACAGGGGGAGGGTGGTGGGCAGCGAAAAGAGGCAGTAATGAGATAGAGTTGGGGGTTATCATCATTAAAACCAACAAATAGTGCAGCATTCACGTTTGCTTACACTTACACTGGTCCATTAATTATTAGGGCCATTAAAACATTCATGTCTGCAGTGAACTCCTGAAGATCTGGGCGAGGCAGGTTCAGTTCTGTCATCCTGAAAAAGTAACATATATTTTGTACACATTTTTAAAAGTTAAGACAATATTATGCAATTCTATACAACTGCCATTCATAACAGATGCATATAGATGACATTGGCTCAATTAAATTTTGTGGTTTGGTGATCTCAAAAGGTGGAGGGAATCAAAGACCACAAATTTTCTAACAATACAACCAATAAAGGTAATGTTTGTCCCTTTGCAGTTAGATTTGTATTGTTCCAATCACCATTCTACTGTAACTAAGAGGATACATGAAGAGTCGCCTAGACTCAAAACGTTAGCTTGCTCTCTCTCCATGGATGCTGTCTGATCTGTTGTGAGCTCCAGTATTTATTGTTTTTAGTAGAGTTAAAGATGCTACTGATGAATATCATAAACCACCAACAGGGAAATAGTTTCATAATGCATAGATCTCATGTGAATAATATGCACTCCCTTGGGATGAACAAAACAGTCAGCTTTATGTCTATAAGAAAAAAAAGGAGCCAACCTGCTCTATCAAGGAATCAATTCAAATGTGTCATGTTTGGAATGACCTTAGGGATCTCCAAGAAAGGAATGCTCTTTTCTATGGCTCAAGTGCAAATTCTCCTCAAGTCCACAGCCATATTAACTATTTCATAAACTGGTTGACAGTGATTTGGCTGCACCTATGCATGTATAAAATGATATGATGTGGATATTATTCCATTCATTTTCCATCTGTTTCAGATGGAACACAGCAGCAAGAGGGCTTCTTTTAACACACTTTGTACAGATTGGTTATAAAGCAGTTGATAGCTTAGCAGACTTCTAGAATATCAATTCAGACAAAGAAATATGCTCTGTCACAGTGAAATACTGTTATTTAATTACATTTTTTGGTGCTGTGCACCAGAGAAGTTTCAAAAGCTAGCATGTATTTTAGATCATCATATCTCAGGCTTTGCTGTACACCTGTTTATTGTCACGTATCAGACCAACAATTAAAACAAAAATGAAATGTTTCGAATTCTGTTCACAGGATGAGGGCATTGCTGGCTAGGCCAGCATTTATTGCCCACTCCAAACTGCCTCTGAGAAAGTGGTGCTGATCCACCTTCATGAACCACTGTAGTCCATGGGGCATGAGTTTAAAAATCTCAGTCCATGCAGAAATCGAACCCACTCTATTGCTGTCACTCCACATTGCAAGCCAGCTGTCCAACCAACTGATCAATAAAACAAAGAACTGCAGGTGCAGGAAATCTAAAACAAAAAAGTTGCTGTAAAAACTCAGCAAGTCTGTCAATATCTGGGGAGAAAAAGCAGAGTTAACATTTCAAGTCCAGTGACCTTTTTGCAGAAATGGATCCCACAGTTCTGTTAGAAAGGGAAGTTCAGGATAAGGGCCCACTCACGGTGAAGAACCTGCAACACAATATCAAGCTGGGATGGTGTGCAGCTTGGAGCTTGTGTTCTCTTGCACTCACTGCCCTTGAATGCCGAAATTATAGAAATTGTGGCTTGGAAGGTTCTGTCAAAGAATTCCTTGAAGAATTGCTGCAGTACATTTTGTAGATAGTACACATTTCTTCCAATGTGCATTGGTGGTGGAGGGACTAAATGTTTAAAAAGTAGTAGATGGGGTGACAGTCAAGTGGAATGCTTTGTTTTAGATGGCCTCAAGCCTTTATACTTAGAAATAAGTTATCTTCCATTTAACAGTTTTCGTAAAATAGCAACACGCTCTGAATTTTGTCACTGCCATAAGGCGGATAGCACTTCTATGCAATTAAATGGAGTATAGAGTACAAGGACAGCTCATCTATTTTTAAAATTCATTTGAGGGATGTCACCATCACTGATTGCCCATCACCACCATTTATTGCCCAGTCCAGGTTTGTCCTTGAGAAGGTGGTAATAGGTCATCTTTTTGAACTCCTGTAACAGCAGTTAGTCCTATCTGAGCAGCTTGCCATGGCTCAAGTACTGCTAGTGGAGACGGAAACACAGAAATTTGCAGGTCAATAACTCTTCACTTTGAAAACTTCTGATGAAAAGGTTAGACATCTGAAATAAGTCTATTTCTCATTTCACAGAATAGTTGGCAGTTCAGGCAGCATCTATCATTTTCTGTTTATCATCAGGTCTGGGACTGGAGTCACATTGGGCAGGCTAAGTAAGAACAGCACATTTAATGAAGCTATTGGCTGTTTCCACAATCCGATATTTTCCATTCAGGAAAATCACCATCATATTACCTTACGCTACATCATCCTAAAAGATGTGTGTGTTTAATTTGGAATTTCCAACTGTCATAACCCAATGAAATATGAAAAAAATACTCTACATGCACCACACCATCTTGGAGCTATTTTCAATACAATGTTACAAATCTTCCAGGACAGGCAAACTGTCAGCTGGCTGTTCCCAATTTCTTCTGTTATGACAGTTCTGCAGTTCTGACTGGTGCTTCCAAACCTAGTCTCTTCAGAAACAGTGCATACCCGATGCCAGGATCATTCTTTAAAGCGAAGAATTGTCAAGGGAAGCCAAGCCAGACTCCTTTTTGAAAGGGTAACTGTTTTATTCTGTCTTAATCTTCATTATCTGACACAACAAAATGCTTTAGGACGTTTAAGCAGATGGTCAGTGTGAATGAACTTGAGTGGGCTAAGTGAACAGGACAACAGTATAGCAGTGGTCATGTCAGCTTATGTTTAGGGGTCAAGGAGATAAAGTCACAGGTATCAGCTGTATGGGTACCCAGGAATTAGATCTGGTTTTAATCTGCCTAACATTTCTAGGTTAACAATACTGTTAACTAAGGTGGCCCTCTCCCAAGTCTCTGACTCTAACTTAGAATTTTGGGGGTGGGGTGGGAGATTTCCCAGTGGGAGTTTAACCTTATCTTGCAATTCCCATAGAATCAATGCATCTGGACTTCCTAGGAGTTTGAACTTGTATTCTGGGGCTATGACGTGTCTCTAGATACATGAATGATTTGGGCCAATCTTACTGTTTCTAACTATACATCTGCAATTCAGGTATCCCAATTTCTGGATCTGGATACCAAAAATGGCATTTTAATACCAGAAAACATTAGGAGTGACCATTAATCTAAAGATTATCCTGATATTTCACAAAAAGGACTGAAACAATAAAATGAATACCATTAACACAGGAACAGGAATAGGACATGCAGCTCCTCAACCTTGCTCTGTCACTCAATAAGATCATGGCTGATCTGTGGCCTAACTCCATACGCCTGCTTTGGCCCCATATTCCTTGATACCCTCGCTTAAAAAAATTTGCCTCTCCAAGATTTAAATTTTACAACTGAATTAGAATCGACTGCCGTACGAGCAACAGAGTTCCAAACCTCCACCAATCTACACATACATATGTTTTTATAACATCTGTAAAACTATAGATTACTTGTCCATAATCTTTGATTCAGAGTACACATGGGTGACTCCATCTATCATTTTGCAGCCAAACCCAATGTCCTCTGGCATTATACTTGGGTCACAGTTTTTATATGGATGCTCCTCAGCAAATGGTGAATGGATTGTTGTATCTGCAAGATAAATCAACAGATGTTAAAAGTGTCAAGCAGTTTATAACTAGTATGTCAAACAATAACAATACCTAGACACACCAATGAGAGGGGAATTTATTTTGTCTGTGCATGAATTGTAGCAGCTGAAATTGTGTCTATGAAGAAGGTATTTTTAATTTCATTGCAAGTTACAGAACGAGTTTTTTTACTAGCCACAGTGGACAGTTAAAATAAAGAACAAAGCAAACAAGATATTTATGAAATGTCTATTCAATAATGTTTCTCCTAATTGGCAGTTACATCATTAAGATAATTGCACTTTAATAAGTTGTCAACTGCTGACTGAAGACCTGAACTTGCCTGAAATCTTAGGTGCCTTTTAAATTGCTAACGAAAGGGATCTGATTGCAGAAGGTACAAATGCCGTGAGCAGTATAGGCAATCCCCATGTTGCAAACTGGTTCCATTCTTGAGTCCATTTGTAAGTCAATTTGTATGCAAGTTGGAACACAATGCAGGACAATAGCTGTTTGTCAGTACAAAAAAACATTCCTAAACCAACAACCCCACCCAAAGTGAATTCTAAACTGGGGAAATCAATCCACTTCATAGCGCAGCAGGATGATAGTTAGGGATCCACCATCTTCCCCCAAATCCAATTAAGACTGAAGTTCAAGCTCTGCCTTTCACCCAGTGGAACTTTGACGCTGTTGAGTCGAAAATTAATGCCCCATTAAAGGGCTCCATCCCACTGCCCATAGCCAATTGTAGTCAAGCTGTGGGACTTGACACGAAAGGAGACTGACAAGTTTGCAGCCTTGGAGGTATGGTCCCTCATTAGTTGGCACAATGCATGATTGAAAGATTTACAATCAGGATGCCTACTGATGGCTACCTCCCTACCCTTTCCCCGAACACGTCACAGGTAGCCCCTTCCACCAGCACCCAAGACCCCTCCCATCCTCACTTTCCTTTCTCCAGTGATTCCACTAAGTACCCCGGTGAAGTGTATTTTGGCAGGAGCCACCAATGCTAATGAAGTTAGAAATTCAGCCAGTCTTGTTGGTGGTTGTTGGGCTCCCCTACAGCACTCATTAAATTCCACCTGTAGTTTCCTGCCATATTTAATCGTCAATAGCAAGCAAAATAGTATCTTTATAGAATAAAGATTTACTATTGTTATACAGGTTATTCCCAGTAGGAACGTGATGTTCTTACATTAATTTGTTGAATGTAGATTAAAACTTGCTGTAATATGGAAATTTGGAACAGTCCACTTCAAATGTTTTCTCTCCTTGCTGTAGAGAGTAAGGAGATTAAACTAGTCCATAGCAGCAGTGCTAAATGGGCTCATACCAAATCAGCAGCTGATCTTTCAACATACTCAAATTTTGATTTCACTCACATTCACTGAACAATACTCTTTTTGAAGATTCATTTCCTGGTTACAACATTGCCTGTTCTGGGCTTACATTAAAAAATCTTGGCAATAGTTTTTGAGTCAATGGAAAATAATAACTGCTGTGGTGAAAAAATGACTGTCAATTTGAGGAGCTATTTCATGGTGCTAACATTGACCAATTTCCCCCTTAAAACATGCCCTTTCATAACCTCTCAAGGGATTTCTGAGTTTTTGATTCAATGGATAACATTTGTAAAAGCTCCAGCTTAAACCAACAGCATTTGATATAATGTCAGTAACATCCAGTCCATGCTGTTTCAGAAATAATTCCCTGTTTGCCAATCAGATTATTTTTATTCGAGAGCCAGCAGCAATCACCATCTGTCACCTAAAGCTTCCAACATAATCTCCTGCTGCTGACAATTTTGTGTCTAGTCTCACCTGGTGAAATGGGCGCTTCCAGCATTTCATCATGCAAGTTTGCTTGACACTGCCCGTCTCTCAGTTGCTCCAGAAACCTCTTAGTGGTCTTACAGAAGCTCTGCAGTGAGAGAGCCATGTATTTCTCTCGAACAAACAGGCTTTTGACAACGCATTTGGCAGCATCCAGAAGGTCTGTGAAAGGAACCTGTGATTAATCAAAAAAAATTTAGAAACCATAAAATATCATTTGTGAGTGATGCTCTCATTAAAACATATTAATGGCCTACAGACTCATAACAAGGAGAAACCAATAATAATCAAGAATTACTGAAAAACAGAACTTCTTTGATTTCTCAATTCATATTTCTAAAAAGCTGTAGGCATACCTCATCACGGTCTTGAATTTCATTAATATGATAGCTCTTGGGTTTCTAAATTATTTTATTTTACATCTTATTTAAATGATTACTAAGATGATATTCCCTTGATTACATACTACTTGGTGTTCTTAAACTACTTTCTCTATTTTACCTTTTGTCATTCTACCAAAGTTACAATTCCCTGAAAATGGGCAGAAAACCTGTTCACTTTCTCACAATTTCCCTATCTCCCCCTAATATTGATTGTTGCCTATAAGAGCCATATAAAAGATGCTCACAGCAATTTTCCTTTCAACTCTATATTCTCCTTGTGACGGGAAATGTCCCATGGTAGGTTACAATGCTGGAGCTGCAATGTGTCAATTCCAAGATAATAGGTTGTAAAATATCTATTTAGTTTGTAAGTAATCAAAATAAAACCATGTTAAATAAAAAGGAAAATGTGGCAAAAACAAAGTTATGCCATACCCCACATTTTTCTTCTCCAAAAATGCGAACTCGTTGGAATTCCTGCTCAATCTCATTCTCCTTTTCCTCAGGGTACTTCTCTGTTGTGGCATCAATTTGGTCCTTGTAGTGTCTAAGGAAGAAGTCAAAAGGATAGGTCATAAAACATCTCAATCATATGATGTATTCAGCTGGAAAACCTGAGTTCACTGCAAGGTCACACCTTGATGTATTTGCATTTGTTAGAGAAGATTCTTTGCCAGAAGTCATCAAACTAATGCAAATTAAGGGACTATATTATAACAGAACTAGGAATTCACAGTCTGTGTGGAATGTGAAATGTGAAAGTAATTATAATAATACAGTAGAAACTTATCAATACATTCACAAACTCCAAACTGAACATCAACTTGGCAAACCTTATACATGGATCCAATGCATCATTTATTCGCTCTCAAGGTGCTGCTAATTGCTTAAAATCAAAACGGCCAGTGTGAAAAATAAACCAGAATTTTCACAAAACTTCATTAATTTCATGTTTCCAAAGATTTCATGCATAAAATCAAAACTTTGAAACTACTACTGCACCTTGGTTTACCTGGCTGAAATGTCCTTACATCAGAAATTATCTGCTCTGCAGTCTCGCAAATGGCAAGTGATGGCTTAGAATTACTAATGCTTAGTTTGTCTAACATCGGTGCTTGAACTACACAAGAATAGCCCTACTATTATTAACTGTTCCTGCCCCATTCTGTATACTTCTCATTCCCTACTCTCTCATCCATACATCAAGCCAATCCTTAAAATGAGTTGATTCAATCTGTACCAACCATTCTCCTGGCAGTGAGATTCACATTCTTACTACTTTTGTCATAAAGCAATTCCTTCTAAGTTCTTTATTTGATCAGCATTAGCGAGCTGCTATAGTATAGGTATGCGCTTTTGTTACAGACAATTGGGAAAACTTTTTAGATGATTATCCTTTCAAACTCCATCATAATTTTAAAGACCCCTAAGAAACGTTAGTCTTTTAGAAAAGAACGGCAGCCTGCATGATCTTTCCAGAACTCTACGTCCATTTTTATTATTAAAACACCATTCTTTCATTCAACCAATGATCTATTTAGAATAGCACTGTAAACTACAGGAGTGGGAATATCCTACTCACTTCCTATTCAATCTGAACAGAGCTTCATAGGATGGATACACCTCACAATTAAAAGCTGATTAACCAGTATTACAGAAAAAGCAGCATAACTGCTTACATCTGATTACTGTACAGATCCAACTGTAATTAAGAGTTCACCTCCAGGCCGGAAGAATTCCGTTACATAGTCAGCCTAGAAGAAAGCAATACTACCCATCAGTTCCCAATCCGTAAATGGCTTTCAGTCCAATTCACCCCTACACAATCACAAGGTTTGTCTCCATGACCCATTATTTTTTGCAATGCCAAAGTGAAAAAAATTATAACTAAACTTCCAGTGGTTACAGAAGTTCAAACCACAGGCTAAGGATAAAAACTGAAATTCTATTGTTCAAGTCATGATCTACATGTTGCACATGAACTCCAAAACTGAATATCACGTCAAAATTCAAAACATAATATTCAAAAATACTTCGAACTTCAGAAGAAAATTTGCAAAGCAAGAAGAATAATCTAAGACAGGATCTCGTTATTAAAAATGAAATCACTTAAATAAAAACATGTTTCAATTATATCTGGATTCTGTAATCTGGCACTGAAGACTTTTCTTAAATTAGAAACAGATCTTAGATCAGTGCTCAATGACCAGTTCGTTTGGTCATAAGTGCATAACCAATCCACTTATAGAAACCTGTGAAAGGGCAAAAATGAAAGCAGAGAATATCCATGACCGTTCTGTAGATACATGATTGGTACCAGGCTGAAGAAGCACTCCATCGGGGAGTGCAGAAAGACTCACTGTAGATCTGTAGCGCTGTCAATTTTCATGAAGTCCTGTTTGGCTCTGAGCAAAATTTCTGGTTCTAGTCTGAGGATGGCAGGCAGAAGCAAGACAAAAGATGCAAGGACAGAAAGGGGAAATGGAAAAAAAAGAGAAGATAAGCTAGTTAATCCAGACATTAGCAAACATATTTTCTAACTGCAGTTCACAGTTTGTGATGCAACACAATTTGTCTTAGCAATTTAAGCTATTGTTTGGCTCTATGCCTCCCCTGCCAACTAACTTTACTTGCATTAATGTTCTAATCATTTTAGTGGTTTGTGCAAACAGCAATACAGACTAAAATGGTTGGTAACACAGAGTTTTTCATCATAGACAAAAATATGTACCAGCTTTCTTCAATTTCTCCAATCTTAAAACAGTTCTAAATAGTCGCAGCCATATAAACAAATAAGTAATCAAAATTATAATTTTAAACACAATTCCATTTGCCTCACAGACCATTACTGCGAAAACTCTGGGAAACTTTTCAACAGGGCGGCATAGCAATAATGATCCCAGTATGGCATAAAAACACAAGTCCTGAAAATAAAACCTGAGCATTAAGTTCTGTTACAATTGGAACTTGTATAGCTTAGACTTCAATGCAAAACCACTGTTAAAATATGGGCAGTCCATGATACATATATGTAACTAACTTCTGGTTCCAATAGAAGTAATGGCCACACAAATTAAACTAAACTAAATAGCTAGAGTAAAACAATATCCAAGTTAAAAATAAAATTTCATGGAGAATGAGTGCTCCACAACGGTTATCTTATCACTAATGGTCAAGAGGCCATTTAGAACGAATTGTCAATGTCACAAACATAATGCTTTTTCTGCATCTTTGATAAAAGTGTTTTGATTCCAATCTATCCCCAGCATACTTCAAAACTCGCTTCAGTGACATTAAAACTGCTGCTGACTAATCTCTCCGTGGTTCTTTGTAGCACAGCAGTGCAAGAACATTTGGCATCGTCAGTTTTGTCTTTCAAGAGACAAAACATTATGTTTTCTGCGCTCAACCTAGCTTCCCCCCACTGACAGCTGACAGAATCATTCAGCTGAGAGACATGTTTAAGAAATAGGTCGTTCTGAGACTTGAACCCATAATTCTGCCAGGAGGGCTCTAACTTGGCAACATGGAGCTACCTGAACAAGATCACCTAATTAAAAAAATAAGAGGTTTCTACGCAGTGATGAGAATCAAGTTCCACTCTTATTGGCATTTCATCAGAAAAAGCAACCTTAAATATGAACATAAAAATTAAGGGAAAGCATGCAGACATGGAAGAGATATAGAGAACTATCTTATCTTTCCAACTGCACATTTTTTTGCCCAAGACAAGTTTAACACGTAAACACATTACACCTTTTATCAATTCATATTTTTATTTTGTCACACTTGTAATTAACATATTCCATTTTGGTGTGTACAAGTTTGTAAGCAAACAAGTAGCAACTAGATTCAGTAACAAAATTTAAGTCATACACATCATCTGATGCAATAGTATCTGACAAACAAACGTGATTATTACATTCAGCTGTCCCCTGCTAAGTAACACTGGTCAAACCTTCACAAAACTTAACAACATGGGATTTTCAACTAGCATTCCATTGTTGGTTAGTCACAACCCCTATTACAATCGGTTAGTATTTTTCTTCAGAAAAGCCTTATGGATTATACAAAGTAAACTGATTTATAATTTGTCACAACGGGGAGGTCAGATTTGGTGAGTCTTCTCTCCTCCATTTAATGCTGGTAACTGGTCACTGAACTGTTGATGTTGTTACACATTCAAAATGAATAACCATTTCTAAATGAGAACTTCAGAACATATTCTAATCATTCTTTAATTGCTTAATTTTGATTCAAAGGGTATCAGAAGATCCAATAAAAATCAACATAATCTTAAAAATCTATAAAGGGAAATGAAAAGTAGAATTAATTAGTAGGGCTGCAACAATTAACTCCAATCAACTAACTGTTTATAATGATGGTCTAATAGCTGTCAAGCAAACTGGTATTGGATTTTACACATAATTCTTCAATTCTTCAGATCCTAAACTGTGTAAGACTTAAAAGTTCCATAGAACAACTATAGACTGACACAGTGCAACATTGTTTCAACTCTTCTCCAGTCTATTTTAATTCCATTTTTAATAACGGTTGCAACATGCATGTTTTTCACACATCTTCCTAATTAGCTTTGAGTTAGCTGGCCCGAATGTGGCTAGGTGCCTGAGGTGATCTATTTTGGTATCAAAAATAGGATGGGTGATCACTATTTGAATGGCTATAAAATGAGACAGGAAAATGTTCAAATGACACCTAGGTGGCTCAGGACACCATTTGCATGCAGGTGCAGCAGGTAGTAACGGTGGCAAACTGTATGTTGGCCTTCATGGCGAAATGATTCAAGTACAGGAACAAGGTCTGGCTGCAAGTATACAGGTCATTGGTGGGGCCACATCTGGAATATTGCATGCAGGTTTGGTCTCTTTATCTGAGAAAGGATGTTCTTGCTACAGAGGGAGAATGGTGACAGTTTAACCAATTGATTCAGGGGATGGCAGGACTGAAGTATGAGGTGAGATTGAATCGGGTAGGATTGTATTCACTGGAGTTTAGAAGAATGGAGGAGGGTGTGGAGATCTCAGAAACCTGTAAAATTCAAACAGGACTTACACAGGTTAGTTACAGGAAAGATGCTCCTGATAGTAGGGGAATCCAGAACCAAGGATTATAGTTTAAGGATAAGAGGTAATCCTTTTAGGAGATGAGGAGAAATTTCTTCACCCAGAAGTGGTGAGTCTGTGGAATTCACTACCACATAAAGTGGTTGAGGCCAAACATTGTGCTTTCAAGAAGGAGGTAGATGTGGCTCTTGTGGATAAAAGGGATCAAATGATATGGGGAAGCAGAGGATTAAGTTAATGAGCTCGATGATCAGCCACAATCGTACTGAAAGGCAAAGCAGGCTTGAGGGGGTGAATGGCCTACACCTGCGCCTACGTTCTATGGCACACACTGCAAAATAAATAACAACGACCTTGCTGTTTACATTATTTGATTGAGCAAATTATTAAAAAGACATGCTACCTAGAGTTCATACAGCAATTCAGTTTACCTCACATCCTGACTGATCTGGCGTTCCAAACGTTGCCGTCTCTCCTCCAGCTGTTCGATTGGACTCTCCTCTGGAAATTCATAAGGAGCAGTCCTCATATCACTCTCTGTCAGTGATCGGGTGAACAGTTCCTAAAGCAATAAATATGGAACAAGGAATAATTCGAAAAAACTCTCAGATGCTATTCAGTTGGAACAAGCAGGATAATAATTATTCTTATAGAGTACAAAACATTTTAGAAAGATTTGGACGTGGCTCATACTTCACGCACATTTAAACCATTATAGAATTAACTTAGTGCAGTATTAACCTTGTTGAAATTGTTAAACATAAGTTTAGGGAAAAGGTCTCATTCATTATAAAGCATGAACTTTAAGATGCTTTAAGAGTCCGAAGAGATAGGAGAGGTGCTAAATGAATATTTTTCGTCAGTATTCACACAGGAAAAAGACAATGTAGTCGAGGAGAATACTGAGATACAGTCTATTAGACTAGACGGGATTGAGGTTCATAAGGAGGAGGTGTTAGCAATTCTGGAAGGTGTGAAAATAGATAAGTCCCCTGGGCCGGATGGGATTTATCCTAGGATTCTCTGGGAAGCTGGAGAGGAGATTGCAGAGCCTTTGGCTTTGATCTTTATGTCGTCATTGTCTTCAGGAACAGTGCCAGAAGACTGGAGACTAGCAAATGTTGTCCCCTTGTTCAAGAAGGGGAGTAGAGACAACCCTGGTAATTATAGACCAGTGAGCCTTACTTCGGTTGTGGGTAAAGTGTTGGAAAGGATTTATAATCATCTAGAAAGGAATAATTTGATTAGGGATAGTCAACACGGTTTTGTGAAGGGTAGGTCGTGCCTCACAAACCTTATTGAGTTCTTCGAGAAGGTGACCAAACAGGTGGATGAGGGTAAAGCGGTTGATGTGGTGTATATGGATTTCAGTAAAGCGTTTGATAAGGTTCCCCATGGTAGGCTATTGCAGAAAATACGGAGGCATGGGATTGAGGGTGATTTAGCGGTTTGGATCAGAAATTGGCCAGCTGTAAGAAGACAGAGGGTGGTAGTTGATGGGAAATGTTCATCCTGGAGTTCAGTTACTAGCGGTGTACCTCAAGGATGTGTTTTGGGGCCACTGCTGTTTGTCATTTTTATAAATGACCTGGATGAGGGCGTAGAAGGATGAGTTAGTAAATTTGCAGATGACACCAAAGTTGGTGGAGTTGTGGATAGTGCGGAAGGATGTTGCAGGTTACAGAGGGACATAGATAAGCTGCAGAGCTGGGCTGAGAGGTGGCAAATGGAGTTTAACGCGGAAAAGTGTGAGGTGATTCACTTTGGAAGGAGTAACAGGAATACAGCGTACTGGGCTAATGGTAAGATTCTTGGTAGTGTGGATGAGCAGAAAGATCTCGGTGTCCACGTGCATAGATCACTGAAAGTTGCCACCCAGGTTGATAGCGTTGTTAAGAAAGCGTACAGTATGTTAGGTTTTATTGGTAGAGGGATTGAGTTTCGGAGCCATGAGGTCATGTTGCAGCTGTACAAAACTCTCGTGCGGCTGCACTTGGAATATTGCTTACAGTTCTGGTCACCGCATTATAGGAAGGATGTGGAAGCATTGGAAAGGGTGCAGAGGAGATTTACCAGGATGTTGCCTGGTATGGAGGGAAGGTCTTATGAGGAAAGGCTGAGGGTCTTGAGGCTGTTTTCGTTAGAGAGAAGGTGGTTAAGAGGTGACTTGACAGAGACATACAAGATGATCAGAGGATTAGATAGGATGGACAGTGAGAGCCTTTTTCCTCGGATGGTGATGGCTAGCACGAGGGGACATAGCTTTAAATTGAGGGGTGATAGATATAGGACAGATGTCAGAGGTAGGTTCTTTACTCAGAGAGTAGTAAAGGCGTGGAATGCCCTGCCTGCAAAAATAGTAGACTCGCCCACTTTAAGGGCATTTAAATGGTCATTGGATATACATATGGATGATAATGGAATAGTTTAGGTTAGATGGGCTTCAGATTGGTTTCACAGGTCGGCGCAACATCGAGGGCCGAAGGGCCTGTACTGCGCTGTAATGTTCTATGTTCTACGTTTAACTACAAGAGTCAAAGCTTGCACTGGAAAAACCAAGTTTAAGAAGAACGAGAGAGGTGATGAGCTAAGAAAGGTAGTCAAGCTTGTCTTTAAAATAATTGTAGGATGATGGAAAGAATAATTGAGCTAAGGAATTCTATAATATAGAAGTCAAAAACTGGTACTTTCACCATTGTACAACATAGACCAATAAGCATACTTTCTAACAGTTATAGTTCAGTGGTATTTATAATAGTTGTCTGGTAGTAGAGAACTGAGTATTGCTAAAGGAAGACACATTTTGTTGAAGCATTTTGTCTTGTACTCATCGAGACACAAGTAAGAATACCAATGTAAATGGGATCAACATTTTATACTGTCTGAGAAGGGTACTAATTGGTTGGCAAGTGGATTCCAACTAATAGAGGTAAGGTCATGGGGAATGCACCAGTTAGATGACTGACAGTTAACTACCAAGTTTTGTTTAAAATTACACCAGGTTTCAAAGTTATCCTGAGAGATAATTTCTAACCAGATCAGATGATTTCCCACTGTATAGTATAGAAACTCATGAATAGGCCAATGGCTGTCACTATCTATTCACAAAGTGCCCAGTCTAACACAGAATTCCCTGGTAGGGTAAGGTATCTCAAACATTTAAACGCCAGGTGAAGCAAATCTCTCATGTTACTACTATGCAGTAGCAACAAGAGCGATGCTCACAACTAACAGGATGCTGCCAAAAAACCAAAAAGATTTTCTGCCAATCAACAGATGAGTAATGAGTAATATTACCTCCAGTGCCAGTGTGATGCTGGGTACGTAGGCTAACATCTCAGACACTGATGGATTGTATCAGACAGCATGTCACTTTAGCTGTTCACACACAAGGTCCTGATCATAAGCAATGATCCCATTTTTTGCAAAACTTACCAGTGTCCAATATTAGAAGCAATTATAGAATTGGACAAAATTTGTTAAATAATCGCAAGTGCTAAGAATTAAACTGACAAACAATTTAAGGGTGGTCAGTCACATTCACAGTGTAGCACTCAAACACATTCTAGAGGTAACATATATTAATACACAAGAGCCTGTTCTTGGTCTTGTCTCTAATATCCACCTTGAGGTATTTATAGTCGAACAAAACTAATTGTGAATAAATAATGCAGAGGCAGTGGAGGTTTTGAGAAAAGATAGTTGAGAGGTAGAGCTGGGTGTCAGTGATGTGTCCAATGTCATAGGCAAGTTAAAGACAATATGTAGGGATACTGCAGACACAAGGAGTGATGTGCAGTCATGATGAGAATTTTAAAATTTGAGGCATTCGTTAACCAGGAATCCATGTACAGTAGCAAACACAGGGGAGAAGGAAGAACAGGATTTGGTTCAATTTAGGATATAAACAGCAGAGTTTTGGATGAGCCTAAACTTACAAGATCAGGGAATGGAAGATTAGGCAGGGTGACATTGGAATCATAAAATCCAGAGGCTTGGAGAGCTCATAATCAAGATTCATCTTTTCCTTTGTGGAGAGAGTTTATTGGTTTTGTTGGTCTTACCCTTCTTATTCAATGTCAAAAGATGCTTCCTATATATGTTCAGACAATGAATAAGCTATTTCTTCTTGACTCTAAACAAAGATATCAACAAACTTAATTAACACCATGATTAACCAGATATTAGCATGGACGTGGGTTTCAAAGCAGACAAGCTAAGGCAAGGATGGAGCTGTGTGATGATATGGAAGTACGTATACCTGGTCTTAATCTTGGCATCAATACATAGTTGGAAGGTCAATAACCAAGATTTTCAACACAGTCTGCTTTGGCCTTAAACTATTACCCAGTTAAAAAGATGTACTTGATGGCTATAGAAATGATTTGCAGCATGGACCAAAGACAAATGGTTTTGGATATCCCTGTATTTACTTCAAAAGTTTTTCGACTCATTGACTACTGGATGTTGGAAAAAGCAGTCAGGCATTTAGAAACAGTGGATGAAACAACACAGATGGTGGTGAGGTAGAGGTGGGAGCCATCAGCATGTGGAAAGCTCTCAAAATACAAAGGGAACAGTTTCAAATTTGCATCCAAAATGCCAGGAAAATTCAGTCATGGAGGGGCAAACATTCAGAAAAGTCACTTTCCTGGTTAGAACGAACAGAATCTCTGAGGACTTGCTCCTGTAATCGCCGGCTAGTTTACTTCCATGCATGCTGCTAATAAGAATTTGAGACAGAACCAGTCTGTGATTGGAGGTAAACAGTGTAAGAGAAAAAGGAAAGTAAGTGAATAAGCCACCTTTTGCCACTGAGGGCTATTTGTGGGGAGAAGCCTTGAGCCACTAGGTAAGTGGAAGGGAGACTTTTGCCACTGCTGGGGAGAAGCCTTTTGCCACCAAGGGGGCTGACTGTAAGGAGTTGCATCTGACAGGAGGCTGCAAGGGAAGAGAAAAAGAAAAGTAAGAGGCTACAGGGTTGGGAGTGCTGCAAGGGAAGAGGAAAAATGGTGTAGACTGTAATATGGAGGGAGATAGAGGCTGCACTGTGGAGGGGGACAGAATGGGGGAGGCTGCAAGGTAATGAGTGGAATGGAGGAGGGTGCAAGTGGTGGGAGAAGAGGGAGGCTGCAAAAAGACAGAACAGTTTGAAAACGTGTCAACAAAGGAATACTCGGCTAACCAGCCAATATTTGAAGTCAGTGAGGTCATGAATCCCTTACAATTGAATATGGAATCTCCAGCTTAAGCGCTGTACATGGAAGCGACTATGATAGGAAAGAATGTAGTGACTACCACTGTATAAACACAGTTGTTGCCGATTGTTAAATTTAAATTTGAAATGGAGATCTGAGATGCAATGAAAATGGTAGTGACTACCTGGGTAAATCTTCTGGCTTTGCACATAAGCCAATGGAAATATATTAGCTGTGACCTCACTTGTCTGTGAAAGATGTGCTTAGGGTGATTGCCTCAAATAATGGTCATTATTTTTAGGAAAAGCTTTTGAACTAACTCACATCTTTGGAGAAATTAATATTTTCCTTGTATGTGGTGTTTTTAACTCTGAAGGAGGGTTGATAATGATTGAGGACACAAACAAATTCTTCTAATTCTGCTTCTGTTTCGATCTAAATACTCTAAATGTCAAAACAAAAACAGGAAGTATCATCACTTGACAACATCACCTAACAAGTATGAGTTAGTAGAAATGAAAAATAAGCTCCTTAAAAACAAGATGTAGCACTCAAGAAAATCTCAGAGCTCTCAAATCAAAAAGATTTTGTGCCCTGGTGGAAACAGATGCTGGATTTTAAGATGATGCCACCAAGTAATTGAGAATTGGGAGGGGGTCAAGAAGATATCCTTGTGGTGCACCAGAGAGAATGGCACAAGACTGGGAAGAGAAGCCATTCCAGGAGATTCTCTAGCCACAATTGAATTGATAAGAATGGACTTTGATAAGAACCTTTTTGGTGCTTTGGTAGGTGCAAGAAATCTAACTGGAATTCTGTGGAATTCCAAAAAACAAATGGGCGCAAAACATACATAGTAAGTTTACACAGTACTCAAGTATTAAAACTCTTAAAAAGTTAAACAGATCAGGTTTTACCATTCATGAACAAAAGCCAACATTAAATCAGCTTCTAAGTGCCAGAGAGTTAGTCCTGAAAAAATAAACAAATACATGAAGCAGGCATTCAGCAAAGCACATGCTTCCATCATGCTGCATTAGATCAAGATTATTACAATTACATAGTTATAGAGTCATAGAGGTTTACAGCATGAAAACAGGCCCTTTGGCCCAATTTGCCCATGCCACCCAGTTTTTACAATTTAAACTAGTCCCATTTGCTTGCATTTTGTCCAATTCCCTCCATGCCTATATGTTTCTTAAAATGACAGAATTGTACTCGCTTCCGCCACTAGCTCTAGCAGCCTGTTCCAGACACTCAGCACTGTCTGAAAAAAAATTGCCCCTCTGGACCCTTTTATTTTTCTCCTCTCTCACCTTAAACCTATGCCCACTAGTTTTAGACTCCCCTGCCCTGGGGAAAAGCTGTTGGCTATCCACGTTATCTCACGATTCATCATTTTATAGACCTCTACAAGGTCACCCCTCAGTCTTCTACGCTCCAGGGAAAAGAGACCCAGCCTATCCAACCTCTCCGTATAATTCGAACCTTCCAGTCCAGGCAGCATCCTGGTGAATCTTTGCTGCACTGTCTCTAGTTTAATCATATCCTTTCTATAGTAGGGTGAGCAGAACTGCAGTACTCTAAACGTAGCCTCACCAAAACCTTTTACAGCTGCAACAAGACATCCGAACTCCCATACTCAATGCTCCAAACGACAAACACCTTCTTCACCACTCTGTCTACCTGTGACTCCATTTTCAAGGAGCTATGAACTGTACCCCAGATCTCTTTGTTCTATAACATTCCCCAGAGCCCTACCATTGTCTGTGTGAGTCAATGATCAAAGAACAGTACAGCACAGGAACAGGCCCTTTGGCCCACCAAGACTACACCAACACAAACTAAAACTAACTAAAAACCTTTTGCCTCTACACAGTCCATATCCTTCTATTCCCTATCTATTCATATATCTATCAAGATGCCTGGTACAAGTTGGTCATGTGGATGGAATGTGCTGCCAGAGGTGATGGAGGCCTCCGAACACTTACCAACCTCTGTGTAACCAACTCGTCTCTCATATTGCCTTTAAACCTACCCCCTTCTTAATTTAAACCTATGTTCTCTAGTAATTAACATTTCTACCCTGGGGGAAAAAAAAAAGACTCTAACTATCCATATCTCTCATAATTCAGTAAACTTCTATCAACTTGCCCCTTAGCCTCCAACATTGAAGTAAAAAACAAACCAAGTTTGACCAAACTCTCCTCACAGATAATACCATCCAAGCCAAGCAACATCCGGGTAAATCTTTTCTGTACCTTCTCCAAAGCCTCCACATCCTACTGGATGTGGCAACCAGAAACATACACAACATTCTAAATGTGGCTGAAATAAAGTTTTATACAGCTACAACGTGATTTGTCAATTTTTATACTCAATGCCCTCACCGATGAAGACACAATTGCTATATGCTTTCTTGACCAATTATCCACTTGTGCTGCCACTTCCAGGGAACTGTGGACCTACCTATAAGCCTAGGTCCCTCTGTATGAAGATGTTACGAAGGGCTCTGCCATTTACTATATACTTCCCTCCTGCATCAGATCTTCCAAAATTCATCACTGTACTTTTGTCCAGATTAAACTCTATCGGTCATTTCTCCACCCAAGTCTCCAGCATATCTATATCCTGCTGTATCCTCTGGTAATCCTCTTCACTTTCTGCAGCTTCCGCATTGTGTGTCATCTACAAACTTACTAATCAGGCCACCTACATTCTCCTCCAAATCGTTTATAAATATTACAAACAAGTGTTCTCAGCACTGACCCCTTTGGAACACCACTGGTAACAGATCACCAGTCAGAAAAATATCCTTCCACTGCTATCATCAGCTTGCCATGACAGACCTTGTCAAAGACCTAGCTAAAGTCCACTTAGATAATATTTACTGCCCTGCCCTCAATCATCTTTGCCATTTCCTCAAAAATCAAGTTTGTGAAACACAGCCTATCAAGTCCAAATTTTTCCAAATGTGAGGAAGTCCTATTCCTAAGAAACTCCTCCAATAATTTCCCTACCAGTGATTTAAGGCTCACTACCCTGCAACTCTCTGGATTATCCCTGTTGCCCTTCTTAAACAAAGGAGAACATTGGGACCTCTCCTGCGCCTAAAGAGGATACAAAGATTTTGTACAAGGCCCCAGCAATTTCCTCACCTGTCCCCCTCAACATTCTGGGACAGATCCCATCAAGTACTAGGGACTGCTCCGAAGACATCCCAATGATCCACATACCTGAAGCCACATGTTTAACTGTACAATCTTCCTATTCCAAGCCTCTCTGGCACATGGTACAGGAAGCAATCCTGGGTTTACAATCCTAGGGCTAGTGAACGCCCTGAACTTCCTTTGCAGGACCTCTTTTCCCTGTCTGCCTATGTCACTTTTCCCTATCTCGTTAATGCTCTGTAATGACAAAATTGATAGAAGAAATCTTTTTATTAAGAAGTTATACTTCACCAAGCATGCTCAGATCAATCCACGTCCAACCACCTACTCTGAAAACTCTGCTCATATCTTGACAGCTGTCAAAAATACCTTTGCTGCAGATGCCAGAACCTAAAACTGTCTAGCTAAACATCCCAGAACATATTTAAAAAGTAATTTCGCCTCATCTCCAAATGTTAATGGGTCTTTTAAAGAAATAGGTCTACATCCTTACCAAAAACAAATCAGTTCTTCCTTACACTTTGTACCAAGTTTTGTTGTGATCTGTCAATAGGTTTTGAGATATATCATTTACAGACAAAAAGACTAACAAGGGTGACAACATGATTTTTTCCCAACTTCGGCAGTGGAGGGTAAAAGGTAGCCTCCAAAAATAAATCAGACAAAGGTATCACTTACCTCTGCAATCTCCTTATACTTCCCATCCATGGATGGAGGTAGATGAATAGGAAAAGATTTGAGTGAGAGTGGAGTTCCAGGAAGTGACTGAGAGCAATGAATTTGCTTGAGAGTCCCAGTCTTGTTGTGCACATCTGCGTAAGCAAATAAACAGATTTCAATTAGAGGTTTGCAGCAATGTCTCACCTCCAGAAAGGAATTAAAAGGCTACAATTAAAGTTAATATGAATAAAATACAATGCCAGAGCTGATTGTTCATTCATCAGATTCGAAATGCCTAGACAACCACTTTGTTTATCAGAGTTAGTGCAGAAGCATAGATTTTGACTTCAAAATAGTCAAATTGCACATAGTAGAAAACAAGCTATGATCAAAGTGGTGTATTTTCATATTTGAGTGTCAGTTGGTTGTACATAGTGGCTCAGATATACTGATCATGGTCAGAAATCCTATTTCCAACTTGATCCAAATAAAATTTACACACTTAAACTTTACAGGTCTTCTGCAATGGAGATTCCTGGACTGAGGCCGCCTATTATAAACTTGTCCTGGAATCCACAAATCCAGCAAAGATACCTTCATATTAAGCATGCCTCCTTTTGTTGATTTCTCAGATTTAAATGCTCAGCAGCACAGCCTGCCATTTTGACAGGTCCTGGGAAAATGCAAGCTTGGAAGCTAAGTGCAGGTTTGAGCTCCAGGTGGTTGAGGGGATAATGACATATATTTTGTCTCGTGGGTGAGGGGGTATTGCATCAGGTGGGTAGGCCACTAGGTGGGGTCCGGTCAGGGGTGAGAAGCTGTTGTTGAGTCAGACAGATGGGAGTGGGTCTGCACATTACAGATGTGGGGGTCAGGCAATGAAGGTGTGTTTGGTTGGGCTATTTGGGGTGGTGTAGCTGGTGTATCAGCTAGGAGGAGTAAGAGTAGGTTTTTAATCCTCAAATTGTGTCTGGGCAACTATTAATCTTAAGTGAGTCACAATCCTCCAAATCATTTGACTAAATTGAGGTTTTCAGAGTTTTCCAGTCTCTGGGGATTGCCCTTCAGATATTTAAATTTCCTACACAATTCCCAGCAGTTGCATTGCGGGCTCCACACGGTCCTGATGCGCACTCCAGTCTAGGCTGTTCCAATGATTCTCATCAGGATATCTGAGCCAATGTTGTGGGTTTAATCTGACAGGTGCATAAGAAGTTAGTATTAATACTCCAGTGCATTACTGAGGGAGTTATGCACTGTTGGCGGGGGTATTTTTGGATTAGACATCAAGCTTCCCTGTACTTAAGAGGACTTGAATGATCCCATGACATTACTTCAAACACCAGCAGGCAAGTTATTTGTGGTCAATGTCTATCTCTCAAATCTCCACCACAAAAACAGATTATCTGGTCATTACCAGATTGATGTTTGCGGGCGCATACTGTGTGAAGTATGATTGCCACATTTCCTACAATTGTGTCTACATTGCATTGCCTGTAAAGCTAACATTTTCTCAGAGGTTTTTGATTATTCTTACACATTTTATATTTATTTATAGTCCACATTTACTACCAACATTAGTAATGGAATGGGCAACCAATTCAACAGCTTGCTTATTCTGGCCACTATACTCAACCTGCCCCCTCTTTTGGTCACAATTGCTGTTCAGTGATATTGCAACTAAATAGGTTACTGCATCTGTCTGACATTGCATGCTCCTTTAAGACACTGACTCACCAAGTGGATTAATAAACGTATGAAAAGAGACTACAGAGGAATTCATGCTGGTATTATATGTTCACCACAAACATCAAAGAGCAGCTTAAACTCTAGGTTTGCAATGACTCAAAGAATTCCAAGGTCATAAAATTTATTTCCATATGTGAGAAATACTAAACAAGTGACTTAATCATTTTAACATGGCTGTTTGCTCTTATATTTCACTTTGTGGCAATCTCAAGTTTACAATGACAAGAACAACAGTAAGTAGACAGTATTTCTGCTGTTGACCAATATAAAAGAGATAATAATTAAAAGTATTTCAACATGTTGAAAGTGTATTATCTTCTGCATTGTATGACCCTCAACTCTTTATATTATGTGGATTGATGGGATATCATACATTGACTCATGGCAGCTGCATCCTGACCAAAATTTTAATTCTTTTCCCGAGGGATAGCATTCTGTCCAAGTAGGTCTAATATAATAAGAACTTGCCATTCAGAATATAGAAATGCCTTTGCGAAAATCAGAATTACACCTTGGAATGGCTGGATGCAAATGTTTCTAGTATTTTAATATTATTAGATGAGTTATCAAAAACTCTGAGACACCAATTCCAGAACCTCAGCCAAACTCTCACAATGGAAAAACATTGGTCAATTTAACAGATTAAAAGATTTGGATAATCAGACAACAGTATGGCACAAACTATGATGCTGCTTGGCCTGCTGTGTTCATCCAGCCCTGCACCTTGTTGTCTTGGATTCTCCAGCATCTGCAGTTCCTACTATCTCTGATAGCCTCTCTGCTCCTATGATGCTGCTTGGCCTGCTGTGTTCATCCAGCCCTGCACCTTGTTGTCTCGGATTCTCCAGCATCTGCAGTTCCTACTATCTCTGGCACAAACATACTTTGATTGCTGAAGTTAAGACAAAAACTAGCATGACCAACTGTCATGACTTTCAGCTAAAAGTGCATTTCAACATTCTGAATCACTTAAGTTTCAACTAATGGATAGACTACAGAACACTTATATTTTGTGTAAGTACTTGAAGCAGAACAAAAACTTCAAAAGGGAAGGAGATAAATACTCAAAGGAGAAAAATGGGAAGGCTGTGGGGAAAAGACTGGGGACTAAGACTAATTGGACAACTCTTTCAAAGAACGGCAAAAACAACTTCTTGCTTGGTTATATGCAATGGGAATTTGATGTCCTTAAAAATTCATCATTATGTCAAATATTGTCCAAAGCAATTTAAGAATCTACGTCCATATATTTTCAATTTTCCCAAATAATTCTATTCACACGCCAACATTTTGTTCTCCAGTGTAATTCATTCTTTACAAACACATGCTCAAAAAATGATCCCCTTCAACACTGCAGCCAACTTTTTGTACTGCATATACCTGTGGATGCTACAGAGAGAAAAAGATGTTTTGAGGATTGGAAGGCTCTATGCCAACAATGAAAGACAAATATTCTTCTGCGTTCTCTTTTGACAGATCAGCTGCCATCATCCTTCTGCAGTGGCACAATTCAGTGACTGCAGTCATTCATTATTAATCTGGCTAGCTATATTTAGCAGCAGAATTCAGACAGATCTTCAGCAAAGCTACATGTTTGAAATCCTACTGTATTGAGATAAAGCATCAAAGCACCCGTCTATATTGAGTTACAATCATGAGTAAAAATAAGATACCCGAGTATGTAACTTTCTATGACAAAGTTACTACAAGTAAGGGGCAGTTATTCAAACAGGATCAAAATGGACAAGTGTTAAGATTGGTATTAAAGGCACCCTACCGGAATGGACATAGCATTCACAAAAAGATTGAATGCACAAATTAGCAAATGGATATTATTTAATTGCCATTAGAGAGAGATAGCTACAGGGTGACCAAGATTGGGAACTAAATATCCAAGGACATTGCACACTTAGAAGGGACAACTCCAAGAGGAGGGGAGCTGGGGTAGCATTCCTTATAAAAGAATGACAGTGGTGCACTCATAAGGGAGGACCTTCAAATTGAACAATCAAGAAGCAGAATCAGATTGGGTGGAGCTAAGAAATAGCAAGGAAAGGAAACAATGGTGGGAGTTATTTATAGAACTGTTGTCCTAAGGTTGTGCATGCAAGAAATCAAGAAATAAGAGATGCATTTTATTTTTCTAAGTTCACAATGGGAGTATCGCTGGCTAGGCCATAAATTTATTGTTCAACCACAAATGTTATGGAAAAGGTGGTGGTGAGCTGCCTTCTTGAGCCACTGCAGTCTTTGTGGACATCCGCACGCTGTTAAGAAGGTAGTTCCAGGATTTTGACCCAATGGCAATGAAAGAATGATGATATTGTTCCAAAACAGGATGTTGTGTGTCTTGGAGGTGAACTTGCAGGTGGTGGTGTTCCTATGCATCTGTTGCCCTTGTGCTTTTAGTAGGTAGAGGTCACAGGTTTGGAAGTGCTGTCAGTGGAGACTCATTGAATTGAACTGATTTAGCTTTACTGTCATCTATTCAAAAGAGTACAGTGGCCACTTACAGCACCATCTAGGTAGAAAGTACCTAGGTACAGACTCTTCAGTACAAATTCTTAGGAAGAGATAAAATAGAAAAATAAAGAAATAAAAAGTCCAGCATAACAGATCGTAAAAATAAATTGGAGAAATAAAAACTTCAGAACAACAGTCCGTCCAACCCAGTCCACGCTAGCACCTAGCCTCCAGACTGCACTGGACTTCACCGAGGTTTGAGGCCAAGAGACCGCTCTGGAATCACCTCGAGGCCAGAAGTCCACACTGGGCTGCAAGACCACCATGTGTTACCAACAGGTCACCATGCTGGGCCGGAGTACTGCCATGCTGGGCTAGGAGACTCCCATGCCAGGTCAGCGCTGAGGCCGTGAGGCGAGGAATTCAGGACATTACCAAGGAAAAAAATATAAAAGAGAACACAAGAACAAGAAAAAGACGGAGCGATGAGCTCCGGCTATAGCGTCATACTCCGCTGCCATCTTGGAAGGAACTGAAACCCACATTGTGAGCTACCTAAGTGCATTTTGTAGATAGTACATGCTGTTGCCACAATGGCGTTGAATGTAGTCAATGCTGAAGCAGGTGGATGGTCAGACAATCAAGCATTGGTCTGGATGGTGTTTTTGAGATTGTTGGAGCTGCACTCTTCCAAGCCAGTGGGGATATTCTATCGCCCTTCTGATTTGTGCCTTGTAGATAGTGAACAGGCATTGAAGAGATAGTCTCAGCATTCCTCTCGCAGACTTGCACTTTTATCCACATTATTTATAATGACCACACTCCTGATAGCAGTCAGTTACTCAATTCAACTACCTGTTCTGCAGTAACTTTATTACAACAGGTTGATAAGATTGAATGTGAGGCATTAAGCAATCAGTAGTACTCCATTTTATATTTT